CATGCAATAATGAACGTACATGAATTAATCCAACCATTTTCGATTGATGGAGACATGTGCATTAACGTGCACCGCATTGGGAGTTCACAATAATGAACACACATGAATTAATTGACCCATTTCTCATCGATCGAGACACCGCCTTATGTTGCACCATTATATAGGTATTAGGAGTTTTCAATTCCCCCTCTGTTACTACAAGTTTCATAGCCCAAATATTATTAGTCGGTCCATGAGTTAAACCCGATTGCGAATATGTAATCCCAACCTTCTCAAAAATTACTCCAAAACTGTTTCATTTGAAAGCGGTGGAATCTTTGCTATCAACTTTTCAAATACTCCGACGAACTAATCAACCAAACACGATGTATCGATTCTGTGAAAAAAGCTGGTGGTGAGGGTTTCATGAATTGAAGCAATAATGTTGCAGCATAACTTGGATGCAATGAAAATGTAAAGTGATTGTAGGGATCATGTTTTCTCAGTGGGTTGGAGGAATAGGTGTGTTGCAACCCTTTTTCTTCAAACATTGAAACCATTATTGCAAGCTTTTATTCATAGTACCGGTATATAATGATGTTTAACCTTATGCAACAGTGAACATACATGAATTGATCCAACCATTTCCCATTGATCGAGGTACCGCATTAACATGCACCGCTATATAGGTATCGCATTAATATGCACCGCTTCTCGACTTGTATCATCGTATATCGCCTGCAATAATGAACACATGAATAATCAACCCATTTCTCATCGATCGAAACACCGCCTTACGTTGCACCACTATATAGGTATTAGGAGTTTGCAATTTCCCCTTTGTTACTAAAAGTGTTATAGCTCGAATATTATTAGTCGGTCCACGACTTAAACTCGATTACGAATCTCTAATCCCAACCTACCCATAGATTATTCCAATACTTGTTCATTTGAAGATGGGAAAATCTGTACCACTAGTTCCACATCTTTCAAATACTCCGACAAACTCATCAACGAAATACTATATATTGATTCTATGAATAAAGCTGGCAATGACGGTTTCAAGAATTGAATCAATAGGGGTGCAACATAAATTGGATTCCATGAACACGTAAAGCACCTGAAGAGATCATGTTTTCTCAGTGGGTTGATGTAATAAGTGTGCTACAACCTTTTTTTATTCAAACATTGAAACCCTTTATTGCAAGCTTTATTCAAAGTACTGGTGTATAATGTCGAACCCCATACCACACGCCTATTATTAAATGAATCATTTCTCGACTGGTATAATCGCATACCTCATGCAATAGTAAACATACATGAATTAAATATAGATATTGGAAGTGTGCAGTTCCCCCTATGTTACGAAAAATGTCATAGCCCAAATATTATTAGTCGGTCCATGAGTTAAACCCGATTGCGAATCTCTAACTGCAACCTTCACCAAAATTTCTCCCATAATTGTTCATTTGATAGCGGTGGAATCTGTGCCACCAACGCTTCGAACAATCCGATGAACTTAGAAACCAAACACTATCTAATGAATTTGTGAAGAAAGCCGACACTGAGGGTTTGAAAAATTGAAGCAATATGGGTGCAACACAGCTTGGATGCAATGAATACGTAAAGCGCTTGAAGTAATAATTGTTTTCTAAATGGGTTGACTCATTTCCCATCGATTGAGACACCGTCTTACGCTCTATGAATAAAGCTGGCAATGATGGTTTCAAGAATTGAATCAACAGGGGTGCAATACAACTTGGATGTAAGTATACGTAAAGCGCCTTAAGGGATCATGTTTTCTCAGTGGGTTTAAACAATAGGTGTGTTGCAACCTCATTTTCTTCAAATATTGAAACCCTTATTGCAAGCTTTATTCATAGTACTAGTAAATAATGTCGTCAAACCACATACAACGTGCCTATTATTAATCGAACCACTTCTCGACTTGTATAATCGCATACCTTCTGCAATAAGGAATATAAGTGAGTGTGTCCAATTCGATTTAGATTAATTACGATTTAAAATGATTTCTGAATCTCAAATGTCTCACGGAAAAATAGTTATTCAAAAGATATATAAAATGCACATGACATTATCGACCTGCAATGTCAATTTTATTAGATGAATCCAAATTATTTATCTAATAAAATTAAACATTTTCTCGTTAAGAATAGTCTAATGATATGAATAACAATATATAATAAGGATGGGTTGCCGATTGGCATGTGAATAAGATTTCAATTATTTGGCATTCAGCGAAGTTACGCCAAATGGCATTCCTGGCCTTTAAGAAAATTTCTTTGCATCCGCGAAAAGGCTTAAAGGCAAAGTTGGAGTACTGGGCCACTTGAAACAACTTAGTATCTCTTCGATTTCAGACTGAAACTACTTTGCGCTCAGGCCTGCCCCAATATGATGTGGGTTAGTATTTTCCAAGTCCATTCATTTTTTGGTATGAAAACTCTCATCTTGCAATCTGATTTATCTCTTATTATTTGAGCTTGTTGCAGTGTTGTAAGCCATTCAGCGACGTTTGGTATGTGGATAAATTTAAGATTCCTGAAAAACTGACATTGAAAATTTTATTTGCCCACATTTGGTACAAGAGAGTGAAAATTTTCTTGGGATTCTTACTTTCTCAGGATTTTAAATTGTAAACAAAATTCCCAACTAACATTACCACCCCACGTGGTATTTTGAAAATCCCACACGATGGGAAAATCATGACTAATTTTTCATGACAAAAACTTATTTCTCACAATTTTCATTGTTATTTTCGTCACATCAACATTTCGCAGATGAAAATTCAGCTTTTTAGGGCTGCAAGTTCAACTCGGTCCAGTTACAACTCAAAGAACAAAAATTAAACGAAAAAAAGAGAGTGCGAGAGATAGAGTTGACAATATGGGTTGAACCCGACGGTCAATATGCCTATTCGCCAAAACGAGGCGGTTGGTTATATATCTAAACCCACCAACCCACCCGAACCCGCTTAGCTATTGGTCAAAACGGGTTGGAGGTGGGTTGTGGCAAGTTGGCCCGTGGGTAATTTTTTTTTACTATTAGGTAGTATTTTTTTGTCACTAAGCTTTTATGATATTCATTTTTTTATCTTAGTTATAATGAGCTCAACTGGTAAATCTTAGTTAAGGATTTAAATGTCATAATTAGATTTAGTACGTGATCTCTAGTGTTTTGACTGTAATCATGACAAGGTCATGAACAGTGACTTCTGCTGGGTATTCTGCACTGCTGTGTAGCAATTGGTAGAGCTCGAAAATGAGCATAATGATGTTAGAGACCTAATTTGGCAATTTTGATGCCAAATATGAGTTTGGAAAAGAGAATTGTGTAGTCTGACACTTTTTGAGAAAATCTCGTAAAACGTGTTTCTGCCGAATATTTTGTACCGCCGTTTAGGCATCCGGTAGAGTCCCGAAATCTTAAGTTTTACAGTATAGTCCAATATATGTCATACAAGTCATTTTTAGGCCAAAAGTTAGTAATTCATAGTGCATATTTTCGGAAAGTGTCTGAATTCATCTGTGAATAGCTTAAAATATTCCTTATGAAATATAAGTGAATGTAAATACACTCAGAAAAATAAATTACATCCGTAGCTTTAAGTGAATACCTGGTAAAGTTAAATGAATTTAATTGAGAAGAAAACATCCGTTAAATGACCATATGTCTTATAAGAGCAAGTGGCTTAAGTGAAACACTATTCCCTCACCTCCTTTCTCTTCTCTCTCCTCTTGGCTGACCCCCTTCCTCTCCATTAGAGTTAGGTTTTCATGTTTCTTCCCTTCTTGATTTCTCTATCCTCACTCAACCAATTACAAAAGTGCATTACACGATTTTAATATTAGAACACCTTAGGAATCCATTCCAGTACTTGGTTTGGGCTGAAATTGAGAGTGTGAAGAGTTTCTCCCCTTTCCATTTTCGTGGCACTATTCATAAGGTCAAGAAAGTGGGGTTTTTGATGAGCCAAGCTTGGTGGATGATCTTTGGGCCTTGGATTGTTGATTAGAGGTAAGAACACTTGGTTTGGGCTTCTTTCCTATACATGTTCGACCCTAAGGGGGAAATAGGAGTTTGAAATGCAAATTAAATTTGGACATATGTGTAGGCTTTGGGAGAGTGTAGGAGTTAAATGATTGAAGAATTCCTTGGTTGTGAAAATGCCACTTTGAGGCCTATGTGCTTTAACTGTGGAACCTTGGGAAATCATGAATAATGAATCTTGGATTAGATGTGTATGATAAGCTTGAATTTGATGGACTAAAGCATTGGAATCATGAAATTGGCATAGTTTCCTTTATGTGCCTCTTAGCCATTTATAAAGGAAGTATGTTTTAAGAGTGATTGTTTGTGCTAGCGAGCACTTATACGGTCTAAGGACTATATGATTAGATGTTTAAACTTTTGGTTGGGTTAGATAAAAAGAAAAATCAATAAATTTCTTCTTTGGGCCTTATATGTGAATATGGCCATTTTCAAAGGAGGTAGGGGCTAGGATTTACTATTTTGCAAAGCGAGCACACTTTTATGCATGGAATAATGTTCTAAGGTGTATGAACCTTCGCTTTGGTGAAAGACAAAAGAAAATAAGGTAGCTCCTTTGTATGGCCTTAAAATGAGTTTTGGCTATTTTCAAAGGAAGTATACGTTCGGAGATACTATTTCGCAAAGTGAGAACACTTTTATATATAGGTGTTTAAACTTGGGTTTAGGCACTAGATAAAGAGAAATCTTATAACTCCTTTGTAAGGGGCACTCTGCTTTAAATTGAGAAAAATAGGCTTTAAGGTGCTAAGAGGAGTAATGAGTATTCTGAAGGCCTTTCAAGACTATCCTAAGACTAGGTAAATGTGTGGAATTATGTGGGGATCTGTTGAACAAAGAACCACCCACCAATGGTCTAATATGGTTATGTTAAAAGAAAATTGGTGTGTCTGGTTAATTACTTTGCTTTGAATCATTTTATTGATATTTGTGTAAATTTCCTATTCTAGGTGCGCCTACGAGTTTTGTTGAGGATCCTACATCAGAGGAGGCTAGGTAACTCATATTTCAAGTAGGCCATTTATACAGTTTCGAGAGGTAAGCTCTATGTTTAAGGGATTCGCTTCTACTTTGTGTTCTGCAATAGTGTATGAACTATAGTCGGGTTGTATGATATGTATGAGATATATGATATAGATGCATTCATATAGAGCTATATGATGATGTGATATGACATGTTTTATGTGATATGTATGATGATTCTTGGCCATTGAATCAGTGTGCATCAACTTCATGTATGGGAGAGACCCTTGGGAATAACGGTGTACACCAATGAAATATGAGATATTCCATGTAGAGAGAGATTATTGGGAATAAGTATGTCGATTTTCACTTGGAGAGAGGTCCTTGGGGAATGACTACGTACTTCAGAGATGTTATATGAGATATGTTCAGTACAGTATGATATATGATGTTTTCTATGTTATGTATCTGACTGTCATGCAGAAAGTGGGCCCAGGGTATGAAGAGTTCTCTATAAACTTGGAGCTTACTAGAGATTCGTCTCTCACCTCGTCTGGGGATATGATTTCAAATACGCAGTTAGCTGATGAGCCCTCACGAGACAAGGACCCTACCCGTGGCTAGGGGTGCTAGCATGAGGATATGGAGTTTTGGGTAGCGGAGGCTACTATTTATTATAGATGTTATTTTTAGAGAGCATGTACTGTTGTATTTGTGCTCTATTTATTTGGGGATCATGATGTCTGATCCAGAGTTATGTATATGGCCTGTATATGTGATGTTTAATGCATGTACATTTTAGTATTAAGGCATTATTATGAGATGAGATATATTCTGATGTGTGATTATTGTATGCTGTTAGATTTAGAGGCACAGAACCTTGTATGCATGCGCCCATGGATGAGTTTTATAGTCATATGTTATATATATCTGATATATTATGATGCATGTGCTTATTAGGACATTATGAGAGTGTGATTATATCCCCGTTCATCCAAGAAACAAATGGAGCTCTATTCGATTTGAGACGCTTTCTGGAATGACACGTGGTCATATCCTGATGGTATATGATCTTTGACTATGGTCATTGATGATAAATGTATTAGAGAATGAAAGAAAAGAAAGAAAGTATGTATGTGTTGCAATATATCATGGGAATTAAAAGGAAAGAAAAAAAGTTAGTTTGTACTTCAGCTAATCGAGTTAAAAGATTAAGTAAAATTTTTGCTGATGCATGTTTAAATATCATGTAAATGTTAATTGAACCGAATTGAGATGGGGATGTTACATTAGTACTCTCTTAGAAAAAATAAAAAGAAATTTTTTAATTATAACAAGAGTTATTCATATATAGAGTCAAAAGTAAATTCATAAAAAATGTCTAAAAGAATATTAACTTATATTTAGACTTGAGATTGGAAAAAAAAAAACTAATGAGAATGTGAAATGAAAATATGTTATGTCATAAAATTAATAATTTTTTATTTTATATTTTAGACGGGTTGACCTGTCAACAAACATCAAAACGGGATGGGTTGATGTTTTTAACCTACCATCAAATGGCAGGTCAACTTGAGGTCAACTTGTTCCGCCCCATTTGTTAGGTCCAAATTTGGATTGCTCCTCCTCAGAAAAAAGATATTTATTTGGGCAAAATTGGTAAATGCATATACGCCTATTATAGGGGGAAGGATGCATAGGCTCTAAAAATTCATTAAAAATCAATCCTTCCATGAAATCCAATGAAACTTGGAGGAGATGTTGGATATATTTAAGTATGGATGCATGAGAAAACCAATTCAAAAGTCGATGCTTGGGTAGGATTTTACATTTTTTCGGATTTTCTCAATTTTTTGCTTTTTAAAAATGAATATTAAATTCGTTCCACGGAGAAAAATTATGAAACTTCGGGAACACTAAGATATGGTTTTTAAAAGCATGCATGCAAAAAATCAGACCCAAATTTGATTTTTAGGTCCAAATTTGGACTGCTTCCTCTGAGAAAAAAGATATCTACTTGTGCAAAACTGGCAAATGCATATACGCCTATTATAGGGGGAAGGATGCATAGGCTCTAAAAATTCATTAAAAATCAATCCTTCCATGAAATCCAATGAAACTTGGAGGGGATGTTGGATATATTTAAGTATGGATGCCTGAGAAAAACATATCAAAATTCGATGTCTGGATAGGATTTTCTATTTTTTCGAATTTTCTCAATTTTTGCCTCTTTAAATTAGACCCACGGAGAAAAATTATGAAACTTTGGGAAAACTAAGATATGGTTTTTCCAAGCATGAGTGCAAAAAAATTAGACCCAAATTCGATTTCTAGGACCAAATTTGGACTGCTTCCTCCTCAGAAAAAAGATATCTACTTGTGCAAAACTGGCAAATGCATATAAACCTATTGTAGGGGGAAGGAGGCATAAGTTCTAAAAATTCATAAAAAATCAATCCTTCCATGAAATCAAGCCTACCAAATAGCTTTTGAGTCACATTTCTGGAAAATTTATTTTCTCATATTTTTGGTAATTGTGATTTTCAGACACAATTTTTTTTTGTCCCCTTATGTCATGCTATTGTCTCGAGAGTGTAAAAGTAATATATGGAAATTTGGACAAAGTTGTTTTTGTCGAGAATTGAGTGAAACTGTCTACTATGTTGCTTTTGTCTTGTTTTTATATTTGATATAATAATTAATTGGATTTAGCTAGCTAGCCGAATTCGTTTGTTAAGTTCACCGTGGTTTCTAACTGTTTTTGTTATAAAATCCTTAGTGATGCTTTTGTCGAGATAGGAAGCAACTTAACGTGATCACGGTGCAATGTATTTAAATTATTAACTTTTCTCAAACAACCAACCATTTCTTTCTTGTCAATGCAATACAATCAGAAAGAATGCAAGCTGACTTAGAGAATATTTAGAGAATTTCTGATAAAATAACATTGCTATAAACATAGTGTAGATTTTCTGTCGCGCTATATTATCTACAAGACATAGTATAGATTTTAATAATGATCTTAACTTATACGATATTATCAGATAAGACAGTATATAATGATATTGTGCTTATGCTTTATGAACAAAAGAACAAAAATTCAAGCGCTTTCTTTGGGCAAACTGTTTGTATTCGACGAAATAACTTGACAGATATATTATAGTAAATGACTTGACACTGCACTTCTGTATTCTTGAAGCTGAATTTACATAGTTTAGTTCTCATGCAAACTTTTGTGCTTCCCGTACCATGCGAGTAAATTTCTTAGAAGATTAGGCAGTTTGTGAAAAGAGAAATGTTATTCATTCGCCGTATCACTGCGTCATACACAAACATTTCCATTTTGAAGAGAGAGTACTTTCCAACACATTCTTTCTTTTCTTCCCGCTGTATGAGTAATGGGAAAAATGCATCGTCTACAACTGCATGGAAGGCAGAATTGTTTATGAGCAAGAAAACAAAGTTGGAAAAAAAACATAACTAATCTAATATAAGCTAGGGGCGAATTTTACTAAGCTCATTTGTAGAAGGCTTTTTTGTCAGTACAGAACGTTGATAACCAAGTTGGGTAAATTTCGTCAACGAGACAAGATGACTCGAAATTCCTCTATGATCCGCAGTGTCCCGAAGCCAAAGGACAAAATAACATATATTCATGCAGAAATGTGAATGGGCTAAATGTACATATTTTTCATCACCCAACATAGTTGTTGTCATAATCGTCACCCATGCGTCTCTTTTCGAAACCATCGTGCTGCCATTCCCAATTCTTCTTATTTTTTATTATTATTTTTTTTTTTGGTGGATACCCTTTTGGGGCATTGTTACAAACTCGTCCTTTTCTCTTATATCATTACAAACTGAGGAGATGCCACCCTACTCTTTCGGTTTCTAAAGTCATAACTCAAACACCATTTTCATTAATTCGTTGATTCTGCTGTTGCTGCTTGAGCGCTGTAAGTCTCGAAAACACTATCTCAATCTTGGGCAGCAAAGGTTAACCTTATTCATGAATGGAGCAGTCACCACCTCAGACTCCTAATTCCATATTCTCAATCAAGAAGGGACGGAGTGGTTATGAACCATCAGACACAGAGACAGAGTGGCAGGATACTCCCCGGCATGAACGAGGCAGAAAGAACATGACTTTGGGTCCTGAAGAAACAAAAGCTCTGACTCTAATGAACAAAAACCATATGGTATTACACAGGAGGCACAATTCAAGGTTTGGAAATGAAGTCTCATCACTTTCAATAGGCCAATCAAGAAAAAGACACCACAGCAAGTCACCCTATAAGCTACGCATAGCAGTTGATGATGATGCTTCATCATCACCCATAACAGGTCTGAGAAATATCAGTCCTTTGCCAAGACCTGAACTTGGAAGAACTGTGTCTCCTTATAGCAGAAAGCATGAGCAAAGAACACCCTCTAGAGAGAACAGACAAGCTTGTTCAGGGCTTCTTGAAGTGGATAAATTAACTGAGAAGCCAAACTACAGGAGATCAGTGACTGCTCCAAGATTGAGGGAGCAACAAAGCAATCATGGGAAAACATTGCAAAATGGGGGAAGGACCAAAGACATGGTTCCGAAACAAAGGGAAGCTTCTACTTTCAAAGCACCTTCAGTGGGAGAAATCAATGAAATGATAGCCCAGATGAAACTATCTACAAATCCCAACGATGATTCTTCATCACTGTTAGAAAGTACAGATTCCATTCAAGCAGGTGATCTTTTCTTTTCTCGTGAATGCAATGCCTTGCAAGGGAAGGTTTCTTCGTTCCCAAAATCCCTTCAGCAACATGAGTATTTTAGCCCAAGGACCATGGTCACCACGATCAATCCCGTGAGAACCGCCTCCGAAAGCAGAGGAAATGGTGACCTTAACAATGTCTTGTCTCGATCGAGTATGGGCACAAGTTATGCTGCTACAAGCAGAAAGGGAAGTGGAACTGGGAAGTCAAGTGGCACCAGTAGTGTGATAAGTGATGCTAGTGGAAAGACAACTGCAAGCATGCTGAAATTCACATCTAATAGAAAAAAGAACCAGAAAGATGCATGGTTTGCTTGTATGAGAACAGGAACCTGTAAGACTACAAGAAAATCGCCCGAGCGTCGACCAATTGATGAATCTTCCTTCATTGAGAGGGCATCAGTAGTGGAAAGCCTCCCACAATTCTGGGCAGATAAACATAAACCTGCTTCACTTAATGGCTTCATTTGCAACAAACAAGAAGCTCAACTTCTCAAGGAAATAGTAAGTTTCCAAATACTCATATGGTTTTCTCAAATTTAAGGCAAATTTGTTCAGTTCCTTTTTTTAGTCCAAACATCCTAGTCTTCATGTTATTACTTGTATATATAATCTCTGACTCAGGTTACTTTGTTTTTCAGAGTTCTCAGGGCTCTTGTCCTCATATTTTGCTCAAAGGACCCTCTGGTTCCGGGAAAAGAGAACTAGCAATGGCTCTTCTTCGAGAAATATATGGTGATGCGTGTTATCATGTATGTTTCTTCCCATACCATATTTTTCCTTCTCAGTGTGTTCTGTATTCCTACGCTGACCTTATTAGACCCTTTCGCAGCTGTTCCATGATTTAAGACATTTCCCTATTCAGGTAGAGATTCCTAAACTTTCTTGCCTATGTATAGGTTTTGGTATATGATAAGTAAAAAACTGGTTTTGATTATTATTTAAAAAAGTTGCTGGAGCTCATAGTATTCGCTACATTGACAGGACCAAAGACCTCTGAAAGTATCTGTCCCAATAACGTCCAGTTCTCATCACATGGAGCTCAATGTAAATTTGGAACCAAATGCTAAATATGCTTTAATGGGATTAATCAAAGAAATTAGCCATATATATGCTATTACCCCCGAAGTCAGCAATATTAATTTCAAGTCAGATTATAAAGGTGAGTTGTCTAAATGCATGTTTAACTTCTTAAACAAAGCTGTCCTTTAATGTGAACTTACCTAGCTAACGTGGCTGTGTTCTCTTGATTTCAGTAATTATTCTTCATGAGGTTGACAAAGCAGTAGAGAACATCCAGTTCATGATCAAGTGGATTATAGACCGCTATTCAGATATATGCAAACTAGTACTTTGCTGTGAAGATGATGCAAGCATTCTTGAGCCCGTGAAAAACCGTGTCAAAGTTATCGAAGTTGATGCTCCTCAAACTCACGAAGTAAGCATAAAAAATTTTAGAAAAAGAAAAAGTAAGCATCAGTATTCGTTTAGTGTACACACTCACACACATATTGTGGTCATGGTATTGACTGTTATATGATATAGATATACACTATATTTTCTCTTCTAAGTATCATTTGCTACAAAAATCGTTGAAACTAAATTTTTATTGTCGCTGTGTTCTACAACATTTCAGATTATGGAATTTATTTCCAATTTTATACTATTTTATTTTCTAAAAGAAATTGTTTTGTTGTCATAAATTCCCATTTTGGAAGGATCAAAATTTCCTTCCATTAATATCAAACCATCTCATAAATTCCAAGAAGAAATTAACTTACTATAAAAAAATAAATTTATTAACTCACATGAGCCTTCAACTTTCCAGATTATTGAGGTTCTTATTCAGATAGCAAAGAAAGAGGAAATTGATCTATCTATGAATTTTGCTATGAAAATTGCTACAAAATCTAAGCAGAACCTAAGGAAAGCAATCATGGCTCTTGAAGCATGCAAAGCACACAAGTAAGAACTCCTAACAGGAAAAATATGTATTTTAACATTTCCAGATAATTGTATATAAAGACTAACTGGGGCACTATGATGGGTAGCTATCCATTTTCAGAAGAACAACCAATCCCGGTTGGATGGGAGGAGATCATAATAGAAATTGCTGCTGAGATCCTAGCTGATCCATCATATTCACGGCAAGAATTTTCTCTTTCCATCTTATTTTCTATGTTTTGTAAGAGGATGAGAAGCTAAAAACATCATGTTATCTAGGTTCTAAAACTAATATGCTTTACTGCTATTCTTTTTAAGACTGGCTTATTCGAAGGTTTAAACAATAAGTTGCTGCTATTGGTAACTTGAAAAATGTCAATCAGATTATGTTTCAAGTTTTTATTTTTAATTTTCTTATGGTTTTTAACAGCCTGCTCTCTGTACGGGGGAAATTTCAAATGCTTCTCCTGGATTTTGTCCACCCCAAATTGATTCTCCAGGTATTGAATCAGTGCCTGTGTCAGAAGAATCCATAAAATATTTTATTCAATTTACCAGAATACTATTTTGTTCAAACATGTAGAAACTCGTGGAACAGTTCCTAAAAAGAATTGATGCCAGCTTAAAAAGGGAGCTCTACTATTGGCATGCTTATTATGTGAGTTTCTCCTTCCATATTTCTGTCTGTCTTAAGTGCATTCCTATCATGCCATATCTATGCTCCTTCCCCCTATTCCCCTTTAATTCTAGACAACCTATCCTACCCCATATTTTATGCGTATGTTTTCTAGTTATTTCGTAACCAAAGGCTATATAATTAACAGGACAGAAGACTGCCACCAGGAACAACAGCTTTATTAAAATTAGAAGGTAAGTCATAACAACCCCATAATCGCTCTTAACCATATATGACATTGACACAAGAAATTGCAGCATGACTCGTATAGATTGACTAGCAAAAATAAGGATAAGTCTCCTTTAAAATAAGAAAGCCTGTAAAATGCACAAGTGAGGGTGTATCCATCCTTGAATTAAAGTGGGTTAAGTTCACTAAATCAATGGTGAATGCACCCTCACTCATGTACTTTTGAGGCTTTCTGATTTTAGGGAAGTTTTCTTCCAAAAATTATATGATTAAGGAAAACAGCTAGGGAACTTTATCTTACGCATGATTTCCCTCAATAAGACTGGCTGTTTTGGATATAATATTGACTAATACGCTCTTCTCTGCAGAATTTGTGGCCAAATTCATGAGCATATGCAGAAAAGGCTCTGGCAGTCGACAATATGTGTAGGTCAACATGGATGTGACTATGGGATGAATCCTTACTATTTAAAATTGTCAGTATCATATATGAGCAGCACCAATTAATGTTCTGCTGAAATAAGAACGTAATTCATATCCCCTATCAAAAGGAAAATATTTTAGTAGAAATCAGAAAGAAGAGTACTGAAATCATTTGTTGCTTCTTATACTGTGAACAGTAATCCACATTTTAAGCAACCCGGATACCACACTATACAGAGTAATTATCCTAACGCTAAATAATTAGCTACTTGTATAGGTAAGATATGCAAGTTACATCAGGCGTGTACATTTGTAAAATGCATGCACAAAATATTTGATATGTTATATGGAAGTTCTTGCTTCAGTAAAAAGGATTGGCAAGCATGCAAAAAAATCAAATTTTCCAATTAGAAATGGAAATGCACCCGTACAGAATGGATTCAGAATCTAAACTCACTCGATTCAGAAATCCGAAACTTTCCATTTTCCTTGGACATATAACGGTATCTGCCATTTGATTTTTTATACAGGTGAAATCTAACAAATGCCACTATACCAACAACTCTCGGATAAAAGCCTAGTTTTTATATCTGAATTCTTATTACAGTACCTTTTGGTCCTTTGCTAAGATAAATGGGGAACATATTACAAATTGCAATTGCAGCAAGAGGGACACCTAAAATCCCAAATAGCAAGAAGAAACAAAAAAGAGAACATACCTGCTTCCGAATATCAAATGGATTACTTGAACTTCATCACGCGCGTTCAGTGTAAATAGAGACTAGAAGTAGAAGCTAATTTCAGTTTGCATTCATCATTTTCCTCTTTTAAATTTGTCTAGTTAATTCAAATTTCACAATATTATACCTGAAAACACAAATAAAAATAAAAACTTAGTTACAAATAGTTAAAGCATTAAGTGTGTATAATTTTACATCACATTACTAATAATAAAGTTCAGGTAAAAAAAATAAAAAATCAACCAACAGTGCCGGAGCCAGAAATATTAGAAAGCCCGGGCCAAATATCAGTCAATCATGAAGGAAGCTAAGGCCAAAGCAAGCACCTTGGAGAAAGCCCAACCATTTTACATAACCAACCATTTAAAAAACAAGCCAACACCAAGGCCCTACCTAGAGATAAGGTGGCTCCGCCACTGTCAGCCAAGCAACTCATTACAATTGTTAAAAGAATAGGTGTTGTTAGGGTATTTGGAACACCGACCAAATGCCACGGGAGAAATTCGTTATCCGGCGAACGATTTGATGATGTGTCACATTTCTAGTGGATAACGAGTACCAAGTTAAAAAAAAAAAGGATGGAGTTCGCTAACCCGTGTAGCGAACTCCATCCTTTTTTTTTTAACTGAGTACTTGGTGTCCACTAGAAATGTGACACGTCAGCAAACCAAGTTCGCTGCCCCTGTGGCAGATTGAGAAATAACACTGTTCGCATGACATTTAGATAAAAAACTTGATGAAAAGTGGCATTTTGGTCACTGTTCCAGGGTATTTCACCTAAAGTGAAATACAGTTAAATTGATGAATTGGGATAAAATACAGTTAAAACGATAAAATATGGTATTGGTGTTCGCGGTCTGGATTGGATCAGTTTTGAAACAAAAATTATCCAATCCAATTTATTCGGTTTGATTTTTTTTTTAAATCTGATATAATCCAATTTTATTCGGTTTGGATTGTATGGTTTTTGATTTTTCAAAAAGTCTAAAATTCCAGCCATATAAATCACTAGCTATATCAAAATAAAGTCTGACAAATTACCGAAAAATTCAAGTCTTGAAAGACAAGTATTAAAACTCATGAAGAGTTAAAATAGATTAATAAACGATAAAAAATTAAAAAAGATAATTTGCTATCAATAACATCTAAGATTTCAAGTCTACAGAATAATAAGATTCCAACTCACCATCTTTCAAAAATAATAAATACATAATAATCAGTTTGGATTGATTGATGAACATCCTTAAACCATGAAGTGAAGTTAAAGTGTATTTAACCTAAATTGATTAGAATAATTTTTTATATTTGTATTGTTTAGCTTAATAATATTTGATCCGCGCCTTTGTTTAACAGACTCTAAAATAGTTAACTCATTTCTATCAAGTTCGATTTTATCTAGACAGTATGAGATAGATATCTCATGTTATAGATCCACCTTAGTGAACCCATATCTATTAAAAAATAAAATATTACACAAAAATTGAAAATGTCACTAGGAGGAGAGAATAATTTTCCTACAATATAAGAAATATTTTTCTTTTCTATTAGGGTTTCGATAGACCTATTAAAAAAAACAAAAAAAAATGCTACACAAAAATCGAAAGTTCACTGATAAAAGAGAATAATTCTCCCATAATATCAAAAAATATTTTTCCTTTCTATTAGGGTTTCAATTTTCTCATAACAAGTATATGAGGGACCCATATTTATTTAAAAAAGAAAGAAATAAATAACATGCGTACAATTCTCACTATCTCCAAATCTTTTAAAATCGAGTATAAAAAATACATTTTAAAAAGCAGTAAACGAACGCACCAAAAAAATGGATCAATTTATGCATGCAGTCACACACCCACGGATATGCATATTGATCTATTATGCATGACAGATGCTGAAGAAGAATGTTATTTATATTTATGGAGAATGTTTATCTCCTTTTATATAAAAGAACACTTTATTCACACACACACAATAACCTGAATAAAGTAGGGTTAGTAATTTAAAAAATAAAATAAAAATACAACAAAATCATGGCACAAAAATCGAACTATGTGCATAAATGAGTTCTTATCATATGTCAAAGGAAAAAAGTATTTCTCTATATTTATTTATTTAATTATTTTCTTTTTTATATCTACTTTTTTTCATTTTTAACACACCCATATTTTGATTATATCATTTTATTTCACCTATAGATGGACGACGAAACGCATCCGTGTCACATCACAGGTGTTTATATGTATTTCCAAATTTTCCATTGAGAGTCACTGGCTGACAGGTGGCATTGTCCGAATCCGAATATTCCGTTTACCTATAAGTCTCTCCCATCTCCATCCAGAACCGTCTGATGGTACCGCTTTAATCAAACGACTCACATTCACTAAACGACTGGCAGCTGAGCTGAGTGATACCCGTGTTGTTCTTAACGTGCTAGTGTGCTACTCAACCTCAACTCACTCACTCACTCACTCTGTTTCGGTGCCTTTCTGGTAAGTCCTTTCTTATCTTGAAGCGCCTTAACCCTTACGATTCTTAGATGATGATTGATATCACGATTCCACTATTTTTTCTGTTTTCCTTTCCCTGAGGTTTCTTTTGTCTCTCAAATTTGTTCTTAATTCTTCAACGACTACTTCTAATTAAGTCTTATTTTGATGTTACTATTATATACCTTACACAGACTGATTCATAGTTCTTTTTCCGAATTAATCTTTAAAACTGAAGTGGATTCTTCTGTCTGTTTGTTTTAATTCCAATAAATCATGTTGATTTAGACTGATATTTATAGCATCTTCTTTTGTGTGTCTGATTTTTATGCTTTTGTTGGTATTATCTGGGAAAGTCAATATGGCTAACCATGAAGAATCAAGTGCATGGAATTCGGGTTTACCTCATCCTAAACTCAATGAAAGAATACTTTCTTCGCTGTCACGGAGAACTATTGCTGCTCACCCTTGGCATGACTTAGAGATTGGTACAGTAAATTTACCCATTTTTGCTTCAGTTTTAATTATAATGAATTTATGCTTTAAAAAATAAACCTATTTTGTTTGTTTTCTCCTCAGAATGTAAAAAAAAAAAAAAAAAATTATTGTGCTTCAAGTGTATCTGATTAGTTTCAACAAAACCTCTTTCCATTGAGATCTAATACTAATAAGAAGTAAGGATGTAGCAGTATTTGGCTGAAAAACATGTTTTTATACATGCAGGGCCAGGAGCTCCGTCAGTTTTCAACTGTGTAAGTTTTTACTCTTTTATAACGTGCATTCCACAAACCTTAGAAAAAAAAACCTTGTTAGAAGGTTTCTTACAACATCATAGCCACCTGAGTTTTGGAGCTTGAATTAATTTTTTTCTGGCAATCCATCGAATATTAAACTTTGTACTTGTGGTGAAGGCAGCTAAGAAAGTGTTTTAGCTTTAACAAGGATATGATGCAAATGGAATTCCATGGCAGGTGGTTGAAATTAGCAAAGGCAGTAAGGTTAAGTATGAGCTGGACAAGGCAACTGGACTTATAAAGGTGTGCTTCCCATTTTTTTACTTAGATTCACCTTCTTACTTTCCATATGCTTGATACATTCGCAAAATATGAAGGACTTTCTTTTAAGGGGATATTATTCTCATTTATCATCTCTACACATATATTGTGAATTTTCTCAACTTCGAAGCTGAAATTTCTTCAAACTCCCGTGCGTTCTTAATAAAAATTTCCCAAATTTTGAGGGATCAATTGCCTTTGCAAACACCATGTCTTAACATGTCTAGGTTTTTAGGAGCCAGCTCGTTTATGTTTAATGTAGGGCTGCAAAGGAGGAATTTGTATTTATGGACGGGTAGAATCACACATGATAAGTGGTAACTCAATCCTTGCAATGCATTTCAGATGATGTGGATTGTTGTAATTGTTCTAGCTTTTAACTGTTGGTGTTGTTTGCATTTGCAATCATACGCTTTTAACAGTAGCATCCTTGAAATTTTTTATTGTGGTTGTGGTAGATTATGATTGTTATTGGGCTATAGGATTTAATTTAATCATTTGCCGCCTTCCTATACATAAATCATGTTATCGTTTTTTTTGTTTTGGTATTAAAAAAAAAAAATCATCGTTTCTAGCTGTGAATCTTTGTCTGTCCGTACCAAAGCATAACTTGCATGTGATGAATAACCTAGGTTGATCGTGTTCTATACTCATCAGTTGTCTACCCACACAACTACGGTTTTATCCCAAGAACCATTTGTGAAGACAGTGATCCTATGGACGTTCTCGTTCTGATGCAGGTACAAATGCTTAAAATTTCTTGTTCATGATATTTAACGTGAATATCTGTTTTCAAACAAAATTTCAACTGTATTAAAATTGAAACGTGTTTTGAGAAGGAGCCTGTGCTACCTGGTTCCTTCCTTCGTGCTCGTGCTATTGGACTAATGCCCATGATTGACCAGGTAAAAGATGCTTCCTCCTTCCTTGCTTATTTTTTAATTTTGTTTGGGAAAATGAAAAAGAACCATGTGAAGGAAAATAAAAATTTGGCTACCCTGTAAGCCTTTTTAATTATTTAGATGCTTATTGTTTGCTTCTGTACTAGTGAATTGAAGTACATCGAGTCTGAGTGGCTGTCCTATTATTGAAATGATGCAAACATTGCCTTACCTTGTATTTGATATGACATGGTGAAAATTATCACCATTAACCTTTCAAACCCTAGTGCAATTTTAACAAGAGTGTTATGATCGAAATGAGAGTTCATTTCGTTGGAGCAATGAAATAAAATTGGGTACAAGGGCAATTGTTAAATCTATGCCACAACGCCATTAGAGGGATCACATTAAAATATGTATAATATACATCGGAGATTACCCTGATCTTAATGTAACTTTAGCTCCCTTTATATTTCATTTGGCTTTCAACACTGTACTATTTAAATAATTTTGTCTCCAATAAAAACTGACATTTGGAGGGAAATTATAAATATTTATAATGAATTCTGGTGCAGGGCGAGAAGGATGACAAGATCATAGCAGTTTGTGCTGATGATCCCGAGTTCCGTCATTACAAGGACATCAAGGAGATTCCTCCACATCGGCTAGCTGAAATCAGAAGATTCTTTGAGGATTGTATCCTGTTATTTGCATTTAGTACATACACATATGCATGTCACTATGTGAGTACATATATAGTGACAATTGTACCCTTTGATGGTTAGTTTTCCTCGTGTCAAAGTTAAATCTCCCCTATGTTTCTATGACCTGTAAAATACTTCCATGACCACATTGTTAGAGAATAATATAAACCAATGAAAAGGCATTCACCAACACCTTAAGGTTTTGGGTTGAAGTGGTTCTTTATATAGTATCAAAGCTTCAGTGACCACGAGGTCACGAGTTCGATTCTCACCGCCCTCCATTTTCTAGTGGAAGTAAATAAGTACAAGGTCTCTTGCGTGAGGGGATGCATTAGAGAATAATATAAACCATCTTGGGTTGAAGTGGTTCTTTACACACATCCCTTGATTTGCTGCATATATCCTTAGCTTGCCACACTAGACAAGAAGAATGAGAACAAAAAAGTTGATGTTGAAGACTTCCTACCAGCTGAATCTGCCATTGAGGCAATCAAGTATTCCATGTAAGCTATTTTCCTTTACCGTGATCTCCTTGTTCAAAATTTGTGTCTAGTTTTGGAGTCTTGGCAATAATCTTGAATGATTTAACTTTTTCCCTGGTAATCGAATGATTATTTTTTTTTTTTTTACATGGATGTTTCCTTTTGCAGGGATCTGTATGCTGCTTACATAGTTGAGAGCTTAAGGCAGTGACTTCAGAAACTGAATTGCCACTTGCAGTTAACTCTAAAGTATTATGTAGAGGTGAATGAAACTCCATAAACATTCTGATTAAGTGTCTGTGTTGTGGCATTTGTACTGCTCGACCTCTGGCACAACAGTCTAAACGTTCTGATTTGAGTTTGCGGTTGTACTGCCGCTGAATAATGAGCTCATTTCTAATATTGAAGCCCTTATTCCTAAAAGCCTGAAACTGGAATTTTCGGGTATTACTGAATCTTATTACCTGCAATATCCCGACACGTTATTTTTTTTAAATTTGCGTGTCACACTTCGACACGTTCTGACGCGCGTCCGACACACGATCAATATTTTGGGACACGTGGTCAACTCTTTGACACGCTCTGACATGTTTTTTTGACACACAGTTAATTTTTTTTGACACGTGGTCAACGCTCCGACACGTTTTTTTTTAAGTCTTAATTTATTTTATTAATTAAAAATAAAAAATATTTATAAATTAATTTTTTTGTTATGAAATTTGACATGAAAAATTAACAAAGTATGAAAAATTTAAATATTTGATTGGTTATATGATTTGTTATAGAATGTTATATGTATTAAATATAAATTATATTATATATATTAAAAATATTATTTAATATCAAAACGTGTCTCAACGTATCAAAATATGTGATTTTTTAGAATTAACATGTTGACGTGTCGTGTTCCGTGTCAATCTCTATTACCTCCTGGTAGGTAGCACGTGAAAGAATTTACTATTTAGCAAATTCTGCTTTAATTTAAAACTCAAGCTTGATTCTAATAAATATTCTATTTTTTTAAGATTTAAATAATATCAAAATATTAAATTATATAACAGTAAAGCATTCTTAATTGAATTTATGATAATTTAATTTTATAAAACACTATAGCTTAATTTAATACATTAGTGGCTTGGAATCGTTTAATTTTTATATAAAAATATCTTTTCAAGCCATAGCTTTTTTAGATTACTTTTTTTTTTTGGTAACATTAGATTACTTTAATTATAAACATGTTTGAGTATAAAATAAATTAATTTAACAATTACACAAACACTCCCTCATAGATTTACCAATGATCCTGTTTAATTGTGGAATTAGGTTCAACTTTTTTTATAAAAAAATTAGAGTTAGGTTATGTTAAAGACCATTACTACTACTGCAAGATGAATTAAATGCAAACGTAAATAACCTTGAAATTATATGATGAAAAAAAATATAGTAAGCTCTCATATTTTGAATACTTGTCACACTATATCCCTTAAATTTAGTGGCCTAGCTAAAATGGGCCTTACGTGTTAGTATGAATATTAAGAATTATGAACATTTAAAATATAATGATATTTCAGCATATCTTATCATGAATTTTGATGTATATCCTAAAAGTTATTTTTTAATAAATTTATCTTTACCAGTATACCATATTAAAAAAATTACAGTTAGCAATTTATCTAAATAATTTTACTTATAATACTTAAAAATTCTAACAATTTTATATTAAACAAACTAAATTCTAAATATCAATAAACTTAAACCATGAAAGCAATAATTAAAAGAAATAAAGACATACAAAGAGAATAACAATTAGAGATTTCTAAATATCAATACATAAAATAAATTTTGTATTAATATGCTACCTCGAGAAAGAAAAAAAAAGTAATAAAAGACAAACGCAAGGGACAATAATTACATAATGAAAAAAAAATCACACCTGCCTTTAAGTAAAAATAGATATCCCATGTTCGAAAATCTTTGGATAAGAAGGGGGCAAAATAATGATTATTTATGGTTAAATAAGAAAAAATAAGGCTAAGTTAAGGAGAAAAATGGAGAAGGACTTCAGTCTTGCTGCATGATAGATTTTGTTATATTGAAAAATTGAAAAAAAAATCATTTGAATATTAATATATTAGGTTTAAACAGGGTAAAATTACACTAAAGATTTTTAATAATATTTTTTACATTTTTTTATTTCAAAAAATGAAGGGGAACTAGTAGCATGTCGGCTTTTTGACCTATGTAGTTTAAATTTATAAAACTTTGACCTGAATAAGCTTATGGTCAAACTATTGCTCGGAGTAATGCATTAGGACGCAGCGTGTCGGTTGTCGGAATAGGACGCGGTAGAGTAGCTATCGTTTTAGAAAACGTTCCAACATGTGCCGTTTCTGTCTTGCACATAACGCGTTACACAGAATCATGTTTCTTGTGGTGTCAAACATCCTCATAGTAGACGTGTAGTACTTCGCGAAAAATGTTACGGAAGCTAACGTGTTCAGAGACGGTCACATCTTGCACAACACTGCAATGAAGTGACACAACACTGCAAAGGAGTCACGCGTTCTATATTTACGTTAGCGGGTGTGGTGTGGTGTAGTACCACTGAACGCGTCATAACAGGTAACGTTTCTGCGGCTTGTGTCACTTCATTGCAGTGTTGTGCAAGACGTGACAGGTTATTCTCTGAATTATTTACCTTCCCAATGTTTTTGACAGGTTATTCTCTGAATATTTTATCTTCCTCAATATTTTCTGTGAAGCACAACACATCTGATGCAAGGATGTTTTACTCACAAGAAACATTAGTCAATATGCCGCGTAATGTGCAAGACATAAACGTCACCTGTTGGGATGTTTTCTAAAACGATAGATAGTATACCACATCTTCTTCCGGCAACTGACACACCGAGTCCTCATGCATTAGTCCGGGCAATAGTTTGATCATAAACTTATTCCGGTCAAAGTTTTATAAATTTAAACTAAATAGGTCAAAAAGCCTAGCATGTCTCTTCACCTCTTCTTATATTTATCACTTTTAAAATAAAATACTACATTTTTTTTTAATAATTGGAAGAAAATATGCATGAAGGAGGTAAATCTAATTTCTAAATATAGAGAAATGATATTTTATTTTTTATTTTTTAGTTTGAGAGATCATTATAATTTTATAACATTAAAGTATAAGCCAACATGAAGGTTATTTATTTAGGGAAGGATTTAACTTATAACAGTGTAACTTTAAAAAGTCTTTCACATTTCTTTAAACATTAATTTTATTTAAGTTTAAAAAATTAATACTGTTAGATGCTGCAAGCAGAATAAATATTGATTAATAAAAATTAACAAAGGGTGTTGTAAGTGTTAAAGAGTTTTTACTGTTAGAACTCGTAAGTATCAATGAAAATGTTTTCCAAAATTTAGCGCTATAACTGAAAGCGGAAAAAAAAAAAAAAAAAAAAAAGGAAAAGAAAGAATAGGTAGGAAATTGAGTAAGGAGGAGTGGCGAGAGTGAGTGATTCCATTTCCATTCCACCAGAGAAGAGAAGAGAAGAGAAAGGAGGTAGTAGCACCTACCACTACCACTGTCACTATCTAATGGGAAGTTTTGGCAAAGCATTCTACACCGTCGGATTCTGGATCCGCGAGACCGGCCAAGCCCTTGATCGCCTTGGCTCTCGTCTCCAAGGCAACTACTTGTTCCAAGAACAACGTACGTTCGGTTCTCTCCATCACTTTCCAATCCCATGTTTCAACCCTAGCTACATCTACCATTGCATTTCTTTTCTTTTCTTTTATTATTATTATGCAATCTGCGTCCGGTTCGATCGAGTCACTTAAGCAATTCATCAATTTAGCTTGCTGTTGCATAGTTAGGGTTTGAAAGACCATCATCATATTCATCGATTTATTTTATTTTATTTTATTTTAATTTGGGCGTTTCAATTCATTTTCAGTGTCTCGGCATCGACCTCTAATGAATTTATTTGATAAAGCTCCAATCATTCACAAGGATGCATTTGTGGCCCCAAGTGCCTCCATCATTGGTGATGTTTATGTTGGCCAATCTTCCTCCGTTTGGTATGGATGTGTTCTCAGAGGTAAACTCTACCACCATCACTGCTTTTCTATGTATGTTAGCTACACTACCTCAAATTCTAACTTATTCTTTTACTCTTGACTACCTACTGTTTTATCTATATGATTTGCATTGAATTAAAATCCACCAATATTTGATTCTACTTTCTGCATTTTATACATATGGTTTGGCAACATACATGATTGGACAATCATATACAACTTCGTATGATAAGTTTTCTTTGTAGTTTCATTGAAATGGAAAATTGGAATGTACGCTTGAGTAGCTAAGAGCCTAAGACAAAAATTTCAGATTTCTTTCCTCTCTTAACTTCAATTAATTGCTGCATTGAACATATTGTAAATGCATATACCTACCGTGCTTGGATAATATCCTTTACAGCTACCTAATCCCTCTCGGAGAGGTTACAGAAATGGGACTTGTGGTGCAGGGATGGGCAATGCCAAACTTGACCTAGGGTGTTCTTTGTCGATCTGAGATTAGGCAGGTGAACACTAGGAAGGTGAAGGTTCTGAAATGAAAATCTACTTCACACTTGTTGGGTACAACAAAAATGTGGGAACAATTTTGACTTTTAAGTGAAATGAAACTCATTCACTTCGGGACTGTAATTTTTGGCCTCTCCTCCCATTTCTTGAGAACGAGCTGAAAATGATTTTCCATCCATTTGCATACATTTGCCAAGCACAAAGTACTGAAAATCAAAACCTTCCATCCCACTTCATTTTCACACCACTTCCTATTTCCCATCTTTACCTTCCCTTCTAAGCATAGTCATACATCATAATGGTCACAGATCCACCCACACAGGCACACTATCAATATTTTTCTGAAATATGGTTCTAAAGGGTATGGCTGAGGAGAATGGGGTAAATTGTTTGCGTTAAAAGGAATGTTAAACCGATGAATAAGGCTTTCTTAAATGTGTTTTTACCTGTAAAAGGTATTAACTCTGGTATAACTGCCTTCATGACATACTTGTCTTAAATAGTGGATTTAGAAATTCATTGCTTATATTTCCTTAATGTGCTTTCTCTTCGGGTAACACAGGAAGGCCCTATTTTTGTTACTTATTTCCTTCATTTTTATTGCTTCAACTCTTTGCATTCAGTTGGAATTTAAGGACAACTGTCATGCCTATCTTTTACTACGCTGCACTCATAATCATAATATATGCATATTGCATGCTCCCTATATCATGGGGTTGAGTACTAATATTTTGCACCCCCTCATCTTTTTGATATTTGTGCTTTTCCTGCTGTTGTCTGTTTTTTTACTAAATGATATTCTTTGTGTGAAGGTGATGTTAACAGCATTAGTATTGGATCTGGAACTAATATACAAGACAATTCTCTTGTACATGTTTCTAAGTCTAAAATTAGTGGAAAGGTTTTACCAACTATCATTGGAGATAATGTCACTGTAGGTGAGTGAAGGTGATATTTGATCATGTTGTGAATGAGTTAAGCATGATTTTTGTGTGAACTTTATCTAAGGTTTTGACACCATGATGTTAGGTCACAGTGCTGTGTTACAAGGATGTACTGTTGAGGATGAGGCATTTATTGGCATGGGTGCAACCTTGCTTGATGGTGTATATGTTGAGAAACATGCCATGGTTGCTGCTGGAGCCCTTGTTAGACAGAATACCAGGATCCCCTATGGAGAGGTTTGTATGAGCCTTCTGTTTTCCTTCAGAGAGAATGGGAATGTGCTCTGTTCAGCTCTCTCTCTCTTGAAATTAAATAAAGTTTTAGATCTAATGATTTCCTACAGTTATCGATGGAAGTTGATATAGAGCATTCATCCCTATCGGACCTAAATTAAAATGAATGTTTCAAGAGGTTTTCAGCTTATTTAAATCACCCCTGGGATTATCATGTGCATCTTTGATTTGAACCGAATGACTGCTTCTAATTGCAGGTTTGGGGAGGTAATCCAGCAAGGTTTTTGAGGAAGCTCACGGAAGATGAAATGACCTTCTTCTCACAATCTGCCTTAAATTATTCCAATTTGGCTGAGGCTCATGCTGTTGAAAATGGGAAAAGACTAGATGAGACTGAATTTGTAAAAGTTCTTGGCAAGAAGTTTGCTCGTCCTGACAAGGAAAATGGTGCAGCGTTAGGTGTGGTTCGGGAAATGCCCCCGGAGCTTCCTTCCTGATAATGTTTTGCTAGAAAAAGTTCCTAAGGCTTAAATTGTTTTCTTTTTCTGAGTATCGTTTATGTGCGATTTTCTGGAGAATGGCTGCTTTTGTTTCCAATAAGTTTGGGGGTTCACACTGTTATCTCAAATATCAAAACATTCTAGGCATATGGCTTTGCTCATCTCTGCTCAATTAGAAACTTTACTTTTGTTTCTTGCTAATGACTATAGTGGACAAATTGGTAATACTTCAGTCATCCAGGGGCATATCTACAATTCTACAGCACTGTAGTTGGGCATGTATTTTAAAATAAAGAACATCAATTCAGATTCGCTAGTTGAACCTGTATTTTCATGGATCGTAACAATACGGATGCGTCTTGAATATATGCTATTGTTGCTCCATGACTATTTCCCCAAGACCTGAATATATAACATATTGTCGCTGCTCAAGCATTGGGCGGTATTGTATTTGCATAAATGATGTCAATGCATCTACTAGTCGATAATGATGTTTTGTTTTTGTTATCCTGCTTTTTTTCTTCTTTTTGTCCACAAGATTGTACTGTTCACAGTTTAGTTTAGTTTAGTATGGCTGCGTGGGAAAGAAATGTCAAATATGTGATAAGAGGTTTTAAAGGCTATAGTGCAATGGTTAGTGAATAAATGTAATTATTACAAGGTGGCAAGCCTCTTGAGCGTTATTATTGATGGTCATCTTTTCAACGATTAGTCATTCCCCTTAAACTAATGGCCTTCTCTGAATAGCGTTTAAGTTATTTTAGAACAGGATGGAGCAATTATTTAGCATAATAATTTCCGTTTAGAAGTGTGCTAAATTTTATACATCTAAAAATTTTCTAGTGCGAGTGAAATGCAGTTGTTTTTTTTTTTTTTTTTTTTTTTTTTTTTTTTTGTGTGTGCTTGATTGATGGAAGAAATAAACGTTCTTATAAAATTAATGAAGTTTGCACCTCAAAAAGATATTAATAAAGTTTATAATCATGATTTATTCTTTTAAATTTTGCTGCTTTAAAATAAGGGGTGAATTTTAAATAGAAAAAAAAACAAAAGTATAACTATTGACTGAAAAATTAATGGTTGATATGTGATAAAATATATGCAGATATATAACAAATTAAGAAATTTCTATTTTAATTTTAATTTTCTAATAAAAACTTAAAATTAGAGGATTCAAATCCAAACATATATAACAAGGAAAAAATATTTGTCATTTTAAAGTACGGTCATTTAAGTTAAAATTGTTATTTTTTATTTAAATTATAAATTTTAAAAAAAAATTCACTTTCTCCCGCATGATTTTCATTGCGTATCTTTTTCTCTCAACTAAAATAACTCAATTTATATATCCTTTAAAAAGACTAACACCAAACCCATATAACAAATTATTAAAAAAAATTAAAATATTTCTAATCAACACTTATAATTAGAGGAGCCAAATCCTACTTTTTAAAATATTTTTTTCTGTCTAATGGATTTATTTTCTCAAATGAGTTTTGTATTGAAAAAGCACGGTGTAATAAAAAAGAATTCCATTGCCGGGAATCGAACCCGGGTCTCCTGGGTGAAAGCCAGATATCCTAACCGCTGGACGACAATGGAATTGTTGACAGCTTTCACATTAAAATAATATATAATATAATACTCAGGCCTACCTTCCAAAATGCAGTCACTTTTCCTGTGTCGAACAAAATAAATTCAATACTTTTAACTTTCCTTAATTATATTTCATTAGTTTAATTGATAAGTGCAATAATATTGTACAAAACAAGACCACGAGTCTTCTTATCCTAGTTAATCATATTCATAACTAAGTCTAGAAAATGTTCCCCATCTTATGAAAAATAAAAATAAAAATTGTTCCCGTGAAATTATAAATATAATTTTTTGGGTGGAAAACAATATATGACTCACATAGCAGGGGCTCTGGCGCTTATTAAATATGGCAGCAGCGAACATCGAAGTTTCAAACTCAGGAGGCCAAGATCACCCTTCAAAGTTTAAACTGCCAACCAAACATGTGATTTTTTGGTTCATAGTTGACACTGTGTGGCATAGGGCTCAACCAAATTTTTTTAGAAAAATGCATTTGATGAATTATTTTAGAGAATAGCAAAACTATGAATCGAGGAATTATTTCTGACCTTTTTTTTTGGTATAAAATTTATAACTAAATAATATATTTTCTTGTAAGAAAATTCAATTATAATATTTTGAATATTATTTTACGGATGCTCAATTCTATCAATAAGTGATTAGTTTCTGTAAAAATGAGTCTTAAATTACAGTAATTGGTCACTCATCAAGCTGAAATTGGGGCACGAGACAGATTAAGAGCCTGTTTGGATCCTCTTATTTTTAAGCTAGAAGCTACTTATAAGTTAAAGCTAAAAAAAAGAACTTAAAAAAATAAGCTAAAAACTGTTTGGAAATTACATAAAAGTTTTAACTTAAAAATTACTTAAAATAACATATTTCAAGAAAATTATCTCTTTCTATCTTTATCACTCTTCATTTTTTAAAAAAGCACACAATTCAAGAAAAACAGATAAGAGCTTAAAAAAAAGCTCCTCCTAGAAGCTTTTAGTTTTCAGCTTTTTTCTTCATTATAAAAAAAAGAGTTTTTTGTTATAAGAGCTTTTCACAAAACCTGTTTGGCCTAGCTTATGCTTATAAGTAGCTTGTAGCTTAAAAAAGAGAGGATCCAAACAGGCACTAAAGGTCCTTGCAATGCTGGCATGCATAAGAGTACTGACAGACTCAGGAAATTTTTTTTATTTCCGCACATTTAGTAGTGAGGATTTGAGGGCAGTGATTCCAATTTTTTTTTTTTAAGACAGTTTAAATTAATGCTTTATATATAAGGTTATGAACTCGCTCGTAATCTAGTTGCTTTTATAAGAAGTTGCAGGCAATAGTTTGACTAATCATTCTCCCGCTAAATCTTATCAATCTTCCAAAACAAATATTAGAATATACTTCAGTACATTCATACATCATCATTCTATTTTATAATGTGAATAAAAAAGTCAACACTACCTGTACAGAAGGCAAGCGAAATTACAATGAAGGCCTCGTCTCTAGAGATTAACTTATTTAGGAATGTCAGACCTGTAATCAATCCTCTCTTTTTAGAAAAATGAAAAATGAAACAAAGGATGAAAAGAGCATGAGAATGGGTACGTGACAGACACGGGAGGAAGAATAAGTTTTCTCTCTAATCAATTTGCGGTTCTACGTTGTTTTAATCATCTTTGTATGTTGTACGTTGCTAACTAATATAAAAGTATATACTCTTTTTGGTTCCTATTAAAAAATTTGGTCTCCACTTTAGTCTCTTACAAAAAAAAAATTAGTGACCTGGTTCCTATGAAATCCAAAGTGGACATATTTTAGTCCTTTTGAGCAATTAATGTGGGTCTTTTTTGAATTTGTGAAGGATCACGACTTTAACTAAATTAATCCACTTTGAATTTCTTAAGAACTTCAAACCTAATTTTTTTTATAAGGGACTAAAGTGGGGACCGTATTTTTTGTTAAGGACTTAAAAAAGTATTTACTTCTAATATAAATAATGAATCAAGAGACAAATAAGAACCTGCAACAAAAAAAAAAACTAAAATCTTATGTCCGCACTTGCGAACATGTGCGCCCAGCTGGATCCGCCTCTGCATAAGAGTATAAGTGTATACTGAATATATTGTATGAGCTGCTAAGGGATTGATTAATTTTTGCATTATGAAACAAACAAATTGATGATTAGTATTAAGTGCAAGGATCATGACCATGACCTTTGCTACACGGGACTGAATAAGTGAATATAAAGTGGCGGACACAAGGGTCCCATTAGCCCCATTTTTTTTGTATTGGTAACTGGCATGAGGCTTGTACAAGGGTCTATCTTCTTTGGTTTATTGATTTCAAATCTTCTCGACGGTACTAGCAACAAAGATAATCATTTGGCTGAAAATGACAGAATCACCCATGAAGCAAAAAGATCATTGGAATGAATGGGCTGGGCATCAATGCAACCATTTGAATCTTTCCTTTTTCTTTTTACACACTGGATATCAGCATAGCATATCTGACTGAACCTGTCAAGCAGCACAATAATAAAAAAACAAAAAAAAAAAAAATTTAAAGCGGGAGATGTTGGTTATATATTGTTAATAAAGTCTAAATAATATATTCACAAATATATATATTATATTATATAAGATAATTTTATTTTATATACACATAAAAATAAATAGGATCCTCTTTTTTTTTTTTTTTTTTTAGTGAATTTTATTCATTTTTTTGTATTGGATAATATAAAATTATCTAATGTAATATCAGAAACATATTTTCCAAATTTAATATATGAGAATATGATTATTTAGGTTCAGCTTTAGCTTTTGAAAAAATTCTCATAAAAAAACGTTTTTAAGAGGCTCATCCAAACAAACTTATGGAGCCCAATTGTTTACATATTAATTCTAGAGTCTTCCCTAAATTGAAAGTAACACCATTGAATATTAAATTGATGTGGAGATGATATAATACTTCAATCACATGTACACTCTTCTCTCCTGCACCCGTAACCCAACAAAATTGTGACAAAAAGAATGAGAGTTGTATATAATAAGGGGTTGTTTTTCTCATTTAACATCAGAGAAAAATAATCTCCTACACACACATATGAAAGAGAGAGGAGAGAGAATAAAAGAGAAAGAGAAAGAGAAAATTTAAAATGGATCTCACATCCAATTTGTATCTAATGCATGAGATGATTATCTCATATAAAATGAGATAATTATTTCCAATATAATAATGGGAAAACATTTTCTCATGTTGTATAAGAATTCAATTCTTATGTTGTGACATTTGCATACAAAATTTTTCTTTTCTTTTTTTTCTTTTTAATAAATATGGGGCCCACCATTAGTTGAGTCACAACATGAGAATTTAATTCTCATGCAACATGAGAAAATCAAACCCATATAATAATAGGGTGTTATTAATCTTATGCTAAAGGAGATAAGTTATCTCATGTCATAGAGATAAATATATAGGTCCCACTACCTAAAAAAAAACTGCACATTTATCAAAAGGTGTGTAAAAAAGAAAACTAATGTTATATAAGATGAGAATAATTTTCTCCATAATAATAAAATAACTTACATAGGGCGGATGGTGGGCTATATGGGGACAAATGCCAAAGTGACCGAAATGTTATGCTTCAATGCTCTTTAGCTAAATAAAAGACGATGTTGGGTTGCTAAATTGCGTTCATATTCACAGAATCCCAGGACTGGTTTTGTTCTTTTGAGTGTTCTGTTCCGGTCATTGCCTTTTACCCGCCCGCATACACAAAATAAAAATTGTTATGGTGTATTTTATATTGATAGATATCTACTTTACTTTATTAAAAAATTTCCTCCATCTTTCTATTCTATTTCTAATACTTACTGTTTTTATAGTTGGAGGATTTTTAATATAATTATATCTAACTATAAACTACAATATTAAGTAACGAACTTTCAACTTAACAGGAAAAAAAATCGTTAGATTAATTATATGTATGTACAGAGGCGGATCTAAGTATTAGAGAAGGGGGCAAGTGCCCACCCTTAAAATATGATGTAAAAATACGAAAATACCTTTTTCTTAAAATTCAAATTTTTTCAATTTAATTTTAGGGTAGGATATTGTAACAATCAATTAAGATTACTTCCAATATTACTATCAATCAATTTCACCGTTATATCAATTATGTTGATCTAACGGTTATATTTATTTCCATCTTTGTATGATTATGATTTTTCATATTTAATACAAAGATAAAAATAAATATAATCTTTGATCAACATAATCGATCTAACGGTAAAATTGATTGGTAGTAACATTGGTAGTAACCCTAGTTGGTTGTTACGATATCCTACCCCTTTAATTTCCCTCATTTTATTTTATTTTCCTGTGAGTTTTTTTTTTCTCCTCCACCTTCATTATCCAAACCTAACAGCACAAAGCTCTATTACAGACACATCGTTTGCATCGACATACTGATTAATCTCCTCTCAAATCTCAATCTCCGTTATTGGAAGTTGAAACATTTGCTTCTTCCTCTATCATTGATCCAGTTGAGTCGCAATCTGTCCAGATCTAGATTTAAACTAGACCCAGCCAGCAGGCAGCTGCTTGCAAGTAACCTTCAAGACCAGACTCAGATCTATATGTACTTGAACTTATTGAGTGAGTGCCCACCCTTTATTAATTTTCTGGATCCGCCATTGTGTATGTACAAATAGGAGGCATAGTAAACAAGTATAATATATTTGCATCTAAATATAATAGTGACACTTAAAACACTTATTTGCTTTATTCTATGTTCAAGATAATTGATGTGACAATTGTTATTAGAACCCTCTCAAGATGAAAGGCTCTAGCAAGAGGGAAAGGTGTTAGGTGTGCACGCATGTCGATTCCGTTACACTGTCTAACTACCACCTTCAGCTGCTGCCAAACGCCCTCTACCATTTCATTACGCTTGTTACTTGTCCAATCTCACTGAAAAGAGAAGTTGTTGTTTTCCTCCTCCCCATTTCACGATCAATTTTTAGGTGTCAATTACCAATAAAATTATCATTTTCCTTTACTAATGTTCAAAAGATGTTGTTTTTGATTTTAGGTCTCAATCGATCAATAATGTTAAATGGTTGCAGTGCCTCACATCCTTGTACTGCCTTGGTTAACACCATTAGGGATTTTCTCAATTGTTTTCCGGTGACACATTATCGAGTCGCAAATTGGTTGGCGTATTATGCGCATGTTACTTTGCCTCTTAGCTCCAAATCAAAAATGAAAATAATAAATAAAGACGTAATCAATGTTTATATCCTATATTTGAGCCATCTATTCAAGATATCACACAAGTTGCCACCGACCAACCAAAATTGACTGGTCAGTTTATATGTCATAAATCTACAAAGTATTATATGTGGGGTTGGGTTCTATTATATGGATTCGAATTATTTTGAAAAGATTGTGAATTAAAGTGCTTTATTCAATATGATCATGGTGTTATTTTAACCATAGGCGAGTTTTTGGCACTATTAACAGCTTTCACGAGTGTCAAGAACTTGATGAAAACAAAACGAATAAAACATCTCGGATTACAACGCGCTTTGCTGTCTGTTATGATGTGACTATGATTCCTTTGCAGAAAGCTACGTAATTCAATTAATAATGCGTAACAACTATGAACGAACGCAATATGTGAACTACAATACTCAAACCATCTATGATATTAGGAAAGTTTTTTAACTAAACCCCATTTTGGTTTGAGATTTTCAACACCCTTATTTTTTGAGCTAGTTTTTATAGTAACGAAATCAAAATTCCTTACATTACTCTTATCCCATTATATAACACTAAAGTTTGTTGTAACCGAATTGACAACAACTATTACAAGCAAAAAATTAACACAAGGTCCTAAAATATTAGGAAAAAATAAAGAAATTAAAATAAAGAGACTACTATAACACTAATTGTGTTGATGCCATTTCCGTCACAGTTTGCTCCATATTAATACAAGACAAAGCTAACATTAAGTTTTTTTTTTAAAGTGTTTAATTTTAGGGAAAAAAGTTTATTTTTTTAAATGACACAGCTTATATTCTTTCACTCTCACAAAGAAGTGGATCTACATTTTTTTTTTTTGTCAACTATCTCTCCTCTTTTATCTATCTCTTTTTTTCTCTTAAAATGACACAACTTTACATCCTTTAAAATGACACACACTTTTTCCTTAATTTAAATATACTGTAACAACCAACGTTCATATTTTATATCATTAAAGTTTCTGGTACAGATTTATTTCCAATCTAATGAATTCAAAATTATCGTAGACATCAATGAAATGTATGGTAAATTGGAGAATTTGACCCCAGAAAGCGTAAAAAGTCCATAAAACAAATCCAACTCCTACTATAACACAGTACAAGTGCGTGTCACCTTTGTCTGCATGCTTCAAAATAAAATGGCCATGGCTCTCTCGTGGTTTTGTTTGTAGCAAACATAGGTCCCCCAATATTCCAACGCAGCCCACATCAAAAAACACGTTACATTCACCTTCTCTCGTTAACGTTACCAACTGCTCCCTTTCCCGCGCCCTCACCGCTTACCCGTCATTCCTCGTGGGATGGAAAGCAAAATTTATTATAAAAAACAAATTATTCCTTTTTATATGTAAAAAAAACTACAAAACTACAAATATTTTTGTAAAATGATTTATTAATGAAAAGTAATATAGTTGTTTTGTAAATTTTTTAACTTTTCATCATTTTAATCATCATTAATTATTTATCATTCGTAAAAATATTTTTAAAAAAGTATTAATAACATTGTATAATATTTTATTTTAATATAAATTTTATTATTACAAAAATTCTATTGAACTCGCTAAATAATTTTAATATACTCGCTATTAAAAAGATTAACATAAAATTTCATTAAATGTTAAAATATATGTTACTTATGTTACTATTTTACTAAAGTTTTGATACGAAATACTATTGCTGATTCAAAATAATACAACATGCCATCACTTTCATTTCTCCTATCTCGGTAAAACATCAGCCAATTATATAAGCACTTTTTCGTCATTTCATTATTTGCCTTTTTTTTTCTTTTCATTTTCAAATTTCTATTTTCTCTTTCGTCACCTCGTCCTGTGTTCCCGAAACAGTCTCTGCACTGATACTGAAGCAGAAACAGAGAAGAGAGAGAGAGAGAGAGAGAGAACAGAGTGAAGAAGAAACCCTAGAGCTTGAGGAGGCTACATTTTGATGGAAAGCGTGGCGCATTCTCGGCAACGAAACAAGGTTGCGGTTACGCTTTCCAACAAGATCAGCAACAATGGGGGCTTCGCCGGTAAGAGTCTATACGACGACGTCTATGGAGGTCCACCGAAGTTCGGCGTCTCCAGCCTCTCGCCTCGTTTCGAAGACTACAGCGAGATTTTTGGAAGCTTCCACACCGCACGCGCCTCTTCTATTCCGTTGCTGGATCTTCCGGTGGTCCATGAGACCGAGGTCTTCTTCGATCCCCGAAGCGACGCTTTCAACTATACCGAAGTTTTCGGTGCTCTAGATTTTGCGGTTCCGTACGATAATTTGTTTAACCAAACCGGTGGTTTGGACGGTGTCTCCTTCGAAGAAGCCTGGTATGAATGCTTATGCTATCTTTGTTTAAGTTACCTACCTTTCTTCGTATGTTTAGTTGAAAAGCGTGATCCGTTCTTACATTGTGTTTTATTTTCTTTTAGGCATAACGTAGTGTACTGGAAATTGAGGTGCTTGTTATTTTTGACGTTTGTCTTGCTTGAGGAAGTTGGAATTTGGAACTGGTTGGCCGTGATCGTTATAACTTATATGTGGTTAAGGGTGGGGCGTTATTGTGATTCAATTCAATGAACTATTGAGCTTAGAAAATTAATTGTTTTGTCCTGGAAATTTGGCTGCTTTGTGTTTTAGGGCTTTAATCTTTGCTCTTTTTCGTTTTCTACTAAAACAGAACCGGGATTTGGGAGTTTAAGTATTGTAGATTAACTATTGAACTCTTTGGAGTTTCATTTATGCTATATGGACTCCTAGTATCTGCAAATGCACGTGTTATGCTCTGAAGTGTTTTCATGCATATTGTAAATAAAAAAAGCTTAATTGCATGAAATCTTTTTTCTTTTTTTTTATTGCTTTCATTGTACCTTAAAGACTTAAAAATTTGCACAGACTGTATTCTGTCGTTCCTCTTTTACATGATTTATTTTAATTTAATGAGATTTAAGCATGATTGTGCAATATAATCATAATCTTTCATCTTCTACAGGACTTCAGCAGAAACTGATTCATTCTCTGGAGAGTCAGATCATTCTGCTAATAATAAAAGCATGTCAAATGGAGATCTTTTCCATTCTGTTGATGGTAATACAGAGTTCAGCATTTCGTATCATAAGGTCAATGGTACAAGCAATGAACATATGTCAAAGGGGAAAACTCAAATGAGTCAGCTACATGCTGTTCATGCTTTCAGTCTAGTATGTGATGAAACCACACAATTACATACAACTGATCCATTCTTTCAGGTCGCTGATGATATTGATCTTGATATGGAATTTAGTGCAGACAAGGTGAAGGGAAACTACCTGAGGAAAACAATGCCACATCTGCGTAATTTTTCCTCAGGGGAAAATACTTTTGGCAGTGATGTAAATCTCCACAATGGATGCAGCAAAAATTACTCTCGTTCCAGTGAGACGTTCTTAACTGTGTCTGACATCAGCCTCAGAAGTATGCCATCTCAAGTTCCTCCCCCCTCTCGTCCACCTCCTGTCCTAGATCCAAAAAAGGGGGATAACTATAAATTTCATTCAAACAGTAGGCTGGTTGCTTCCAAAGAGACACCAGGTGTCAGTTCACCGCCTTTCTTTGATGTAGAGGTTGATAATAATTCATCTGTGGCAGCTTCTGCTGATGCTATGAAAGAAGCTATGCATAGAGCTGAAGCAAAACTTAAGAGTGCCAAAGAATTAAAAGAGAGAAAAAAGGGGGTTCATGAAAGCCTTGTAAAATCAAGTTATGATGTAAAAAACAATGAAGCAAAGATGAGTAAAGATATGACTAGATTAAATAGTTTGAATGACGAGACAATGCAGGAAAATTATGATAGAAGGCATTCCAAAACGAAAAATTCTGTACCAGATGAAATGCAGAAAGCTAGGGAAGCCTCCACTGAAGCTCTGGAAGTATTAGAAGGGAAAAGAATTTTGAACATGGTTGAGGAAAATAACACGGAATCCAGTTCATCTCAAGAATTGGATAGAAGTAGTGGAGTTGGGACATGGAAAGAAGAATCTGAATTTTTTGAATTAGTGGGAACAGAAGAATCTGGAATGGTAATTCAGCCCACAAAGCAGACTAAGATTTTGGTGCAAGATATCAGAACCCAAGAACGTGGCTGGAAGGAAAGAGAAGCATCCAATATGCAGGAAAAGTATAAAAAAGTAGAAGCAATTGAAGAAAATTATCTGGGGGAGGAATATGAGAAAAAATCTAAAGCAGCAAAAGAGGCTTATGAACACAATGAAAACATTATGAGGTCTGAAGCATCTAATGAGAAATGGAGACAAAGGGAACATGTGAAGGAAAAAGTGGCAGAAATATTTGAGCCAGAAGAGAATGAGAAGAATATGAGAATGGTCCACCAGCATGGGAAAACAGAAAAGAAAATTACTGAAGCTGACCAATCAGGAAGGTTAGACGATGTGTCTGAGATGGTTCACGAGGAGCAAAAACAAGTGGAGATCCGGAAACCCAAAGAGGTTGATAGACAAACACCAAATGAAGTTCAGTTGGGCATGAGGCTTAATGAAAATGAGAAGAAACTAAAAGATGTTGAAAAGCAACAGCAGAGTGTGAAAAGGCACAAGCATTCTGCAAAAATGAAAGAAAATGGAAAAACACAGAGAGAAGATTTTGCTATAGGGCAAGATGAGAATCAGAAAAAACTGAAAGATTCTATGGAGCTGGAAGATATTGATGAAAGATCAGATGAGGCTTTTAAGCCGGACAGCACAGAAGAAAAAGAGGTTTGCAGAAGAGAAAATGAGATGAGATTAAAACTAGCTAAACAGATTCCAATCGTGAAGGGACTGAAAGAGGCTCGTGAAAGAGTAGAAGCTGAGACCAGCCTCAAAGGTTTTTCTAAAAATGAAGAAAGTGGTGAGGGCCTAAAACGTGCTTTTGGGTGGGGTGAGAATGACAAGCAACTTAAAGAAGACTTTGAACTGGAAGTAAATGAGATAAGACTAAAAGAGGCTTTTGAGCAGAGGGAAATACACGAGAGGAAAAACAATGCATATGAAAGAGATCAAAATAGAAAGAAATTTAAAGAGGTTTGTGATGAGTATGGAGAAGAAAATAGACTTCAAGAAGCAGGTGACAACAAAGATATTCAAAAAGTTTTGAATCAAGCTCCAGAGAAAGAATGGAATGATGGAACGTTGAATGAGGCTCAAAAGAAAAAAGAAAATGAGAGCACATCAAACCAAACTTCTGACGAGGAAGGAATTGTAACTGTATCAATTGAGAATAGTCACCCAGAGCAATCTGAGAATATGGACAAAGGTGTTGGTAGAATGGAAAAAGATAAGGGACTGGACAAAGCTTTGGATGAAATGGAGGGGAAGGAAGAAGGGGAAAATATGAAGCTTGCTAAAGCAACTGATGAGACATGGGAAATAGAGGCTGATGAAAATCTTACTGCAGCTCAGTCAGCCTCCATTCATGAAGAAAATATTGGAAAACTGGAGGTATCTCAAGAATCTATTGCTGACCAAGAAGTTGGGAAGTCAAGAACTGAATGCAAAGTTGGAGAAAAGAAATTGGAAGAGATAGCAGTGGAAAATCATCTGGCTAATGAAAAAACCAGAGCACCTCAAATGACACCAGGAGACACAGAGCATTCAGGGACCCAATCAGGAAAGGTGGATGACACTGTGACAGAGGCTGATTACAGAAGGAGCACAGAAGCAGCTGAACCTGCCACGGTACAGGAAGCTGTAAATGTGCAGAATACTGCTCAGTGGATTCATATTGGTCAATCCACAGAAAGAAAAGAAAAGAGTCTTAACAAAACTCCCACAACTGTAGTGAAAGATGCTGAAAGTATGAGAAGAGAAACAGAGACAGAAAAAGATTGTCTTAGAAAGATAGAAGAGGAGGATAGAGAAAGAGAAAGAGAAAGAGAAAAAGACAGAATGGCTGTTGACAAAGCAATGTTAGAGGCTGAGAGGGAGAGGGAAAGAGAAAAGGATAGGATGGCTGTTGATAGAGTAACTTTTGAGGCTCGTGATAGGGCATATGCTGAAGCTTGTGAGAGAGCAGAACGGACTGCATTTGAAAGAGCAACTGTAGAAGCTCGAGAAAGAGCACTGGCTGTGGCCAGGGAAAGACTTGAGAAAGCGTGTGCTGAGGCTAGGGATAAGTCATACGTTGATAAAGCAACTATAGAGACCAGATTGAAAGCAGAACGTGCTGCTGTAGAAAGAGCAACTGCAGGGGCTCAAGAGCGTGCCATGGAAAAATTGAAGGCTGAGAGGGCTATATTTGAGTCCAGAGAACGGTTAGAGAGATCTGTATCTGACCAGTTTGATGTTTGTTTCAGAAATGGTGGAAGACAAAACTCTGTGAGTATCTGTTTGAATCTGCTATTGATAAATTGCTACATTGCCCAATAAAATTCTAATATAATTAAATGGCAGGATATGCTGGATAGACAATTTCAGAGCTTTAGCTCTTCAGCAGGTTCGAGATATCCATATTCACTCTATGGTGGTATGTGAAATGCAACACCCCTGAATTGGTTTAGTATAAAATCTCATTCGACATTTTACTACATCAAACTGTATATAAGCTTAACTAGATATTGAATTTTGCTTGAAGCTGCTTCTTTTTCTGAGAGATCAGAAAGAGAAGGTGAATCAGCTCAGAGGTGTAGAGCTAGACTGGAGAGGCATCGCCGAACAGCTGAGCGTGCAGTAAGATCTCCAGTCTCTTGATATCTCACATATAAAATGTCCACATACAATAACACAATCATAAGTTTTCTGGAAATTTCAGGCAAAAGCTTTAGCAGAAAAGAACATGCGTGACCTTCTAGCTCAGAAGGAGCAAGCTGAGAGAAATGTAAGCATACATCCAAATAGTTTTTCTCTAAGGCTTCTGAATTATTTTTTCTCTGTTTCATTAATTACTTGACTCTGGTGCTGATTGCAGAGACTAGCGGAGACTCTGGATGCTGAAGTAAGGAGGTGGTCAAGTGGAAAAGAAGGAAACTTGCGTGCATTACTTTCTACCTTGCAATATGTAAGTTAAAATATTCTAAACTAACTTGGCATATGCTGCTTCTTTCTCCCCCAACCCCCAACTTCTCTTTAATTAGGACGGTGCAAAATAACCAATCTGAACCGGACCAAAAGAACCGGTTTGCAACCGTTTCAGAACTAGTTTGCATATCCGAAATGGTTCAAAACCGGTTATAAATCATGAACTGGTTTCGAAACATGAACCATTCCAAACCGGTTTGGGAAAAATAAAACAGTTCGGTTCTTTGAACCGAACCGGTTTAAACCAATTCGGTTTGGTATAGGGAAAAAAAATTGGTTCGGGTCGAATCATGCCCACCCCTATCATTAACACATAATACACACGGTAGGGTGTCGCATGTCTGGAGCTCCAGCAGACAAGTCTCAAACAGATTAGATTGTATCTATTGGTTTGCTTGATCACAATGCTCTTAACTTCTATTTGAGACCTTCGAGTTATGATGTGCAACTATCCTGAATATTCTAGACTTATTGTTTGGAATTGTATTGAGTAAGCTCTGTCTATGGTTCCTTTTCCAACTTTTCTACCTTGTCAGATCCTTGGGCCTGATTCTGGGTGGCAGCCAATCCCATTGACGGAGGTCATTACTTCTGCTGCTGTAAAAAAAGCCTACAGGAAGGCCACCCTGTGTGTCCATCCTGACAAATTACAGCAACGTGGAGCAAGTATTCCACACAAATACATATGTGAAAAGGTCTTCGATCTTTTGAAGGTAAGGCATACCATCTTTCACTGTGTTGGTTTATTTATTCATTTATTATTTTGTTGCAAAAGTTATCCTATATCTAGTGAGGGGATAAGGAGAAACGTGGAAAGGGGTGCTTGGTTGACCAGGCGGAAAACTGGAAGGTAAAAAGTTTGGAATGAAAGCCACTTTACACTTGGTACAACAAAAACATGAGAAGGCGAAAAATAAAACTATTTGATTTCACTTTTGGTTTAAAATGATTTGCAAATCTGATGCTCTATTTTTCACCTACTCAACCAAGCATACCCAAAGTGAGGGCATTGTCAATAAACAGCGATTGAAAAGGGGATCAAGTGCTTTCCAAGAAGTTAGGTGCCACTAGACTATTAAGGGTATTGGCAGGTTGGCGTGTTTATTTGGAGCACGTCAGTGATTATCATTTTTCCAGAGTCTTAGCTTTTGCCTTTTGTGCTTGGGAAGTTGGCTTATATCACTAGAAATGTAATAACACTATAACACTATGGTAAAGTGTTTATTATTTTAAAGGACAAAACATCATGTCTTTGATGATAAGATAATGGGGTAAAACTTCTTACTTTATCAAAAATGTACAGAGCAAAGGCAAATTAACTACTCCAATTAGGAGGTACAGGCTTCTAATTACAATTCGAACGATAAAGCAAAACAAGTTGTAGTTTGCAACAATGAATAAAAATACAGAAAGGGTGGTAATAGATCTAAGAAACAAAGAAAGGGAAAAACATAGAACAAATGCGAGAAAGGAAAATAGAGCTTCTTCCTTGGGTAGGCTGGGATGTGCAAAATAACCAAAAAACTGAACCAAATCATGAACCAAACTGAACTGCACTTAAAATAACTGGTTTTTAAAAATCAGTTCATGAACCGAACCGGTTTTTAAAGAACCAGTTCATGAACCGAACCGGTTTTTAGAACCAATTTAAGAACCGAACCAGTTTTTAGAACCAATTTAAGAACTGAACCGTTTCCGAATTGAACCGAGAACCGAACCAAATTGATTTTTATAACTTTATTTTTTATTTTTTTATTTTTTTTCTTTTCAAAATAGGATCGACCCGAACCGATTCCGAACTGAATCGAACCGTTTCTAGCCGAACCGAACCACTTCCGAACCGAACCGAACCATTTTCAAACCGAACCATTTAAATCAATTCGGTTTGGTTTTTCAAAAAATTCGGTTCGGTTCGACCTATGCACATCCCTAGGTAGGCTTTTCAAACCAAACACACAGCAAAAGAAATGGTTTTGAGTCTCTGAGCAGAGATAGGGAGAGCCTAATCAGCAAGGCTCATACTTGGAAAGAGAGACGGTGGTAAGTAGAAAGAGAGGCTAAGCAGAAAGGAGAGTGGGGGGAGGGAAGGTGGTTGGGGCGGCACTGAATGTGGGGCAGTGGCAATGGATGCTGTTGGAAAAGGGAAAGAAATGGGTAGGGAAGGGTTTTTTTTTTAAGCGAAAAACTATTGTTTCACTTGGAAGTACATAATGTTTTGTCTTTTAACTTGACAAATACTGTTTCCTAAATTTTTTTTTTTTTTTGGTGAATGACTTTTTCCTAAATTTATTTATGAGCGTTTATGTAACCTAGTAAGCTTTTTGTGATAGTTAGTCATTGACATATACAACCTCACTTCATTTGATAAGATGATGTAACGAAATCATTCATGAGCCTTAACCTCACAGTTGAAGCTTTTTTCGTACACTTTTTTTTTTTTGTATATAGAAGTTTGGATTATGAAAAGCATGCGCGTGTAATGCCAGAGAAAACTATGCACTTTTGTTTTTGGTACATAAAAGTTTGAATTAGGGGAAAACATGCCTCCCTGCAAAGCTAGAGAAAACCATAAACCTTATTGAGTATTTAAAGTGAGATTACATATCACTCTACCAGAGAGGAAAAATTGAGAATCGAACCGATGCCACGGCTAGTATGGGCAGAAGATTCGAACCGCTGTGCGAATCCTCATTGGTTTTTATACACTTCTTTATTGACATGTATAATCTCAAGTCATTTAATGACAAAGCTTTGTACGATAATACATTATCTATTTCTTTCATTGTGGCTTAATTTATTTTATTTTAATCAGGAAGCTTGGAACAAATTCAATTCAGAAGAGCGATAGCATGCCCAGTAGCTCAGGTCTGTGTTTTTCTCCCTCATCTCTTGCAAGCGTCTGTAGAAGCTTTCACCTCAGTCGGATAGTTTCGTTCCCATGGCATGCAGAGTCCCCCCTGTCCGAAACCTTGGTAATTATTTTGTCGTAGTACATGTTCTGTAATAATAGTCTCTTAAATATATGTATGTATGAAGAAAATTTCAGCCTAAATACGGTTCCGCAGGAAAATAAGAAATTCAGAAGTAAATACATTTAAAGTATACGAGGCTTAGAGTGGCTTTTATATGACCTGAATTGAGAATTTTTTTTTTTTTTTTTTTTATATATAAGTGAAAATTGAACACATCACCTAATACAATTTATTCAAATCTCTCACCATCAGACCAATTCTAATGGCTTACCTGAATTGGGAATTTTGTTATAACATTGTAATCAATTTTAAGTACGGAAGCACCATGAAACTGAAGAAAATTGACAAGATGCTGCCGTAGCCATTATTTAACAAGACAATTTGGTGATCATGCATTAACCTATTTGACCATTTTTTTAGTTGTGCAACATCGGCTGCCGTTCATGTTATATAACGATCATATACGAAGAATAACATCAAGATTTAATTGGTTTTATTTAGATGTTATTGATCCACTTAATGAATATGATCCCCCGGTATGTCACAGCATAATCGAAGTTTGTCTTTACTGAGATTGGGGATAAACGACCCAAAAACAAATAGAGTTGCCGATGGATAGTAAGTATACTAACAGGTCCGGGAGATTCATTTTCTATCATATGATGCAAATAACATAGAACCTCTTTGCAGCGGAATAAGCATGACTTTAGTACTTTACTGCATTCTCCATCTACCTACTCCCCCATCACGCTCATCCGGACCAAAACAAGGAAAGCAATACAAAAAAACATTTGGGTGCATGTTTAGTTGTTTTACCTCGCCCGAGAGCGCAAAACGAGTCCATGATCTGATGATCAAGATGGGTACAGTCTCAGGCAGTGCTCAAAATTGTTCTAATGGACATATATTGCAATAGCATTGTGATCCACTACGGTTTTAATAAAAGGAAAATTCATTCTAGATGAATCTGAAGGGCTTCGAAAAGATGCAATACAAGGAGTTAAATAACTATCAAGTTGGACCGTTTTACTTTTGAATTATTTTAGGTGTCATCTTCCTCGTGAAACACTGATGTTTCCTATGATTGATGCACATGGCTATTTGAGGCCATGGGCATGGATACAGACAGCTATTGAACTGTTTCAGGAAACGGAGGATGCAAATAAGGTATTGCCAAATTCTGACTTTCTTGGGAGGGTTGCTGTGAGCTAGTCGAGAACACTATGCTTCATAGATATCTTTGTAAACTAGAGGAAGAATTATTATGGTCTTCGTTTCATGATATACTGAGCAAGGTACTGCAATACTAGGCTTCTAAAGGAGGACCTTTCGTCTTTGTTAAGGCTAAATTTGAGTTTATCTTGGATATCAAATTGATGGCAGAGCAGCAACGGTTGGCTTATTTATCTAAACCCTTTTTGTGGAAGGTGTCAGGTGTGGATCAAATCCCTAGCAGTTGGAAGTTGGGAACTTCGTCAAAGCTCAACCTAGTAAACTTTTGAGCGATTTTCATCACAAAACAACCTAGTAAAAACAAACCAACAAGATTATAATATAATCCATCTCAAAAACAACAGATTTTTTGAGAACTTTTGGAAGTTTAAAAAATGATTTTTCAAGCTATGGTCACAATTTTTCTTGGCACAAAAAGGTATGGTTTTTATGTTAAAAATAATAGAGTAAATATCATTTTTGGTCCCTAGCAATATCCACGAAGCCCCTTTTGGTTCCTAGAAATAAAAAAGGGACATCGTGGTCCCTAAATTTTACAAATTAGGCCCATGTTAGTCCTTCTGTTAGTGGGGCTCTAACGTCGTTACTAACGTCTCTGACGTGTACCGTTAAATTGCTGAGTCACCATAAAGGAATCCACCTGGATAAAAAATGACGTCATTTGGTACCTTACCTTTTTTTTTCTTTTTTATCCTTCTTCTTCTCTCCAATATAGGTCCCCACCACCAGCACCCATGTTCATAACAATTCACTTGGTTTACCATTCTCCGCCGCCATCATTACTGCCTCCATGTAAAACTCCACCCTCTGCCTCTCCATCATTATGTTAAGTTGGATGACTGCAAGATCTCACCCTCACTTCGAGTAGTCTGAGACAGCTGAACCTTTACTGTTTGTGCTGCTGAGATCATTTCCATAATTACTCAATACTTTGAATTTAACCCTGCCAAATCGAATGATATATCTGTTACAGTTAAACTTTCACCAATATCATATCAACTGTAACACTCACTCAACTATCCAACTGGATCTTAAATTATGTCTATACAAGGTAATGGATCACATTTACAGAGAATGTTTTTTTCACAGCCTCAAGTTTAAGCTTAAGACCACAGAGGAAGTACTCGTCAACATTTTAGGAAGAAATAAATTAGCAATAAAGACATCAAAACATGGTAATGGTCTAATGGAACTATGTAAATATTAAAATTGAGAAACCAAAGGTGGGAAAGGACAAGGCTGAACTTGGATGATTAGCTGAGGTGGATTGCATTATTGGAACTATGTAAATATTAACATTTTTCCCCACTTTTTTCGTTGCTATCTTTTTGGTTATTAGAACAACTATGCTGGGGTCTACATTGCATTATTGAAAGTATGGGTCTACCAATTTAAGGACATCGTATTACAGTCTCTCAGTACGTGAGCTTGTGTCTCAGCCTCCGTCCTACAGTTTCCACAGAGTGGATCATCTTGAGACCACCTAAATGTGTGACCATTAAAACCATGTAATTTTCTTCTCTTTGCTCATATCGTTAATACCGGAACGAGAAGTTCTGAATAAGGGGATCCTTTAAAAAATAGCATCTTATAGTAACATTTATTTAGTCATATTTCTCCTACAAAGAAGTGTTGATTTTAGGGGACCAGCACCCATGCTAAGTGAATTGTATTTTTCTAAATAAACTTTGAGAGCTTGGTTTTATAAATCAACTTTGAACTGCATCTGAATCCATTTACCAACGTTATAATATGGGCTTTAAGCTTTAATTTGGGCGCTGAAACTAGGTCCAATGTTGTGTGGAAGCCTTGGATGTGATTAGTAAATAGAAGAGAGTGAGAGAGTTGAAAATGAAGAAGGAAAGAAGGTGGGTGTGGTCACTCCAGTGGCATTCATGGTATGTCCCAATGGACACCTTTTTCTCTTTCTATTGGTTTCCATAACAATCACAATGTTAGATCCTCCAATGCTATTATTGCAAATACTAAACCACCTTCTCTTATCTCTTAATAAACACAACACTTTAGTGTTAATATTTGTATTTGCATCATCTCATCTCCTTCCCCTCACACTCACGCATTAGCTAGCAGCTAACTACCAAATTTACGGTACCATTACCATCTTTTTTCATTTACATTCTAATGCTCTGTTTTATAAAATATTCCATTGTATTATTCATCTCTATCTTCTAGCACCCTCTTCCTTGTGCTTTTACCATGATGGTGAGGCTAATCCAGTTGCTTTGCTTCTCTCCTCGGCCATGATGTTGAGGCATCTTTGGTTCTCTTCTTTTGCTGACAGACTTGAGACTGCTGTGAATCGTGTCATTTCAGAGTGCAAGTACATGACAAAAGATTTTGGGGGAGACAACACTACCTAGGAGATTGTTGACGTTGTCATTGCCAACCTCGACTAAATGGGTGTTAATTTACCATTTTTAAGTCTTGTTGACCAGCCTTCATTTACCATGGTGGTGGTGAACTGTAATGAATATTGGTGGTGTTGGTGGGGACCTATATTGGAGAGAAGAAAAAAAAGAGAGTAAGGTACCAAACGACGTCGTTTTTTATCCAGGTGGATTCCTTTATTGTGACTCAGTAATTTAACGGTACACGTCAGAGACGTTAGTAACGGCGTTAGAGCCCCACTAACAGAAGGACTAACGTGAGCCTAATTTGTAAAATTTAGGGACCACGATGTCCCTTTTTATTGCTAGGGACCAAAAAGGGTTTCATGGATATTGCCAGGGACCAAAAATGGTATTTACTCAAAATAATATAAAACCCTCAAACCAATACATTCATGAACAAGATAAATTTAAAGAAAGATTGAAACTTTCATGATATGAACTCTATATTTCATAACAATACATTCATGAACAAAATTCCTTTGCTATAGGAAACGATTTCAAACAATTTTTGTATCAATAGAAAACTAAAAACTCAGAAAGCCCCAAAACAATTTAATAAATACTCATAAATTCAGGTTTTAATGTATCGATTGAAAATAATTTGAGAAAATTTTCTAAACTTTCATGTAATAAAACCCAAATATTTAGATTCAATTTTTTTTTAGAATACTCAATGAAAACATATGTATGATATCTAGTTAAAAAACTCTCATCATGTAGAACAAAAACCCTAAGGTTTCCAATATCAATTGCAAAAATTTCAAATGAAATTTTATCATGAACTTTAGGTTTTATATGTAAATTTAGAATTATAAATAAATAAAAATTGAGTCTTATAATAATATATGCATAGCTCTGATACCAAATGAAGAAAATGATTTTTAACTCATTGGTCAAACCCAAGAGCATGACGAGAAAATGCTAATGCATGGAGGACTAGAATAATTTTAGATATGTGGAGAGTTGTTGCTAATATATTATGTTTTATTGATTGAGAAAATTATATTCGGTTTTACTTTTTTTTATTAATATCATTGCATTTCTTTGTTATTTTTTTTATTGACTCTTGTAATTTTGAATGCGTGCTAAAAATTCATATGATTTTTTAAAATCTTATAAATCCATATTGTCCTTTCAAATTTTATAAATTCTATTAAAATCTTTTAAAATTCAATCTTATGAAATCTTGATTGTAAAAAATATCTTTTAAAAAAGTGTCCAATTCTAAATAGTCTTTTAAAATCTATAAAAAAATTATCTCATCAAAATTCTAATTCAATACATCCCCTAAGTCAACCTGGAAATTGTTTGCATATAATGTCTATGCGTGTCGTCATTGGCTGTTTCTCATTGTTTTATATAATTACAGCTACTTCGAGAGATAAAATATATTTACTTACAAAAATTTATTTGACATGTCTTATTTTTAGTTTATCTTTTTATTAAAATCAGTTTAACTAAACATATTTTTATAAAAATTCTTATTATAAAAAGAATTTTTTTATAATGAAGAAAAAAAAAACTAAAAGCTCCCAAAATAAACTTTTTTAAGATGCATGTCAACTTTTTAGAGTCCTCATATTTATTTTATAGTTTTACCCTTATTCTAAATTTATATTTTATAAATTTTATCTTTTTCCTAATAATTCATCCTAATAATAAATTATTTTATCTTCTCTTTTTCAAAACCTTTAGAATTTATATAATTACGAAACAACTTTTAATTTTATTTTTTAAACTCATTTTTTTATCTTTAACTTACAAATAACTTTTAAGTTAAGAAAGTTGACCAAGCGGCTCAAATACTTGCATAAAATTATATTTATACATTCTTTGTAGTCCTATTATTATTTTTTCTAAATCGTCTGGATTATGCTCATGTTCCACACAAATATCTTTCTTTTTTTATATATACCAGACGTATCACCCACTAATAAAATAAAATAACCTGAAGTGTTAAATGCACTTTGCTTCTCTGATTCATTAATCTCATTGAATATTTTTACCACAATTTATATAGCTAAGCTGTTACACTCTGATTTAACATAATATATTGCAATTTCCCATATTTTATTTGATAATATATTAAGACCCATATTTAAAGCTTTCATCATGAAGATAGGTTTCTTTAAAAAAGAATTTTAGTCAACAAAGGCTATCTTGTGCTTTAGCCATGTTACTTTTGCAACTTTTATGCAAAAGTCATCTCAAGGCACCTATTTAAGAATTAACATGACCTTCAAGGATAGCTCAGTTGGCAATTGAAAATGATCGGAGGAAGTTGAATTACTCCGAGAACAAAATGATCGGAGGAAATTGAATGAGGATACCCTTCAGGTTATACAAAAAAAAAAAAAAGAATCAATAGGGAGATTTTGCTACCTTACTTACCACTTGCTGGTCATCCCTCCACTATACATATAAATACATCTTCTATATATATATATATATATATATATATATATATATATAAGGTTGTCTATAGCTATCTCTTTTTCACTAAGTACGACCGGTCGTACTTAGTTATAACAATAAAACTGCTCTTTTTTTCTCTTTCCTCAGCATTGTCGGCTGACGTGGCGGAGAGAGAAAATGCATTTTTAATGTACGACCGGTCGTACTTAGTGAAAAAAGGGTAGCCGTAGACAACCTTATCTAAAGTGGCTGCGGAAATGTTTTCCTATATATATATATATTCTTACACCGGTGTAAGAGTTAGAAGTTTTACAAATTTTTTTTATAAATTATACTAAGTATGACCGGTTATACACTCTTGATTGGAGTATGACCGATCATACTTAGTGTAGTTTGTAAACAAAAAATTTGTAAATATAGTTTCCCCTATATATATATATATATATATATATATATATATATATATATATATATATGGGAAAAATGTTTCCGCAGTTAATGCAGATAATTTATCTGCATTTATTCTCAAAACGACGTCGTTTTGGTATTGAAATCTTAAAAAATTATAAATATAAAGACTATTATAACCCTAAAATAAATGAAAATTACAAAAATACCATGATTTCTGCCCCAAAACGATGACGTATTAGGCTTACTGCAGATAACTTATCTGCAGTAACTGCAGAAAAAGCGAACCCTATATATATATATATCTTCTTCTATATGAATAAATTTACTCACACAAAGTCTTGTTTGAGTGTCGGAGTATATACACCCTTCCATTGTTCCAATGAAAACTCATGGGTTAAAGTTACATCAAATCACATGTAGAGTATGGTCAGCCTAGGTAATTCTGGTTCTAATCATTATTAAGATTGAATCTTATTAAATTTAAATCAATTGGGGGAAGTAATTGACCCATATTAAATTTAATAATCATATAAACTTAATATTTTAACAATGAAAAGTGACAAAAATAAATATTGGAAGCAACATATTAAAAAATTTAGAAAGCACCTAACAAAAAAAAATGTCCACAAATTATTTTTCAATCAATCCTTTTGTGATTTTTTAAAGGTTTCACTCAACAAAGAGGTTCATGTATAAAACACCGGAAAATTGTTTATCCTTTTAAATGACACAATTTATATCATTTCACGCTTACAAAGAGGTGAGATCCACACCTTTATTTTTTTGTTAACTCTCTCTACTCCTTTATCTATTTCTTTCTCTCTCTTAAAATGATACAACTTTTTTACTTTAAAATGACACACATTTTACCTATAAAACACGAAAACCTTACATTACAGTCAAGAATATGTACCCTACCCGTGCCTGAAGTGGTTAGGAGGATTGTGGAGCTAACCCTAAGTCGTAGGGATGAATTTATTTTTCAATTTTTGAAGTCTTAAACGCTCATCATAATTTTTCATAGTCAGACAAAACAATTGAGAAATAAAACATCATGTTTAAAATAAACCGGTATTAATTGTTTAGAATTTACTCAAGGTTGAATTTAGAAGCATATACGATGTCTAGGTCATGAATTTTTATATTAATTCTCAGTCATACGGTACTTGTCTACGCTTTGCAGAATTGCAGCAATTTGGTTGAATATTTCAATGTTTCATGAGCAAGCAAAGAATTTAAGAAGGCTATGCAGTTAAGAGGCACCTTGACTGAAGAAATCAAGATTAGTATACAAAAGAAAATTAAATTGTCATATTCTCAAATTATTTTTTAAATTTCTCTTGGGTCCTGGATATTCACAACTTTCATTTGATTATGGTTGGAATTCTGTTGGGACGGCATAAAAAGTCAAGAGGAATTGCATCACTGATTTTGTTTTCAAACCAGAGACGTAAAACATTAAGAGCAAGCATTAAATTAAAGAACACAAAAGAAGAAACTGCTAGCAAACCAAACCTGACTTTTATAGATGAATAAAAAAAAGTCCTCTATTATGGTAAGTGCCACAAGTTATCTCATCTTCAACTCCCACCAACCATTTTCCTTTCACATCTACACATTGCTAATTCTATCTCAATCAAAATCTTGTCTTTCACACAACAGGATCCAGCCATGTTTAGATCCACAAGCACTCGGAGAGGCCCTGCAAAGTATGAGAAATTAGATAAAGAATCAGCTGCCAATGGGAATTCAAATGAAGAGTTCAAGAGGAGCACAAGTTTTCCTTCTCAGTCATCCAGTTCATCAAAAAAAATGGCTCTGGGTTCAACCTTTGGAGACATCAATCTACAGAGAAACCCCACAAAGAAGGCCGATAATAATCCTAAGGAGAAGAGTCACCCACTCTTTAGCTTCTTCGATCTTCGCAGGAAGAAGAAAACAACAGCTAAGCCTGAATTCGCTAGGTATCTTGAGTACTTGAAGGAAGGAGGCATGTGGGATTCGAATTCCAATGAACCTGTAATCTATTATAAGTGATAGTTTGCTTAGGTTTCTGAGTTCAAATGTTGGTACTTCCTGTAAGAACTAGAGTTTGACTCCATGTCAAAACCACCTTAAGAAGATGTAGAGCAAAATATATGTGATTTTGTTGTTGATCATTAATGTGAATCAATTGCGGACATGCATGTTCATCTATTGATTCCAAATGGTTTTGTGATATGAATTTCTTAATAGAATGGTGATATGAATTTATGTTCGAATGCTCTGCCTCTATAATCACCATTTTGCTACTTGGAGAAGTTTTAAAACCATATCATTCTCGAAGCAGCAAAATAAACGATGAGTTTAGTTCTTAATTGTCTGATTCGACTTGTTAACAGAATGTCAAGATTTTTTTTTTAAATTCTCTGTTGTTTTGTGACATTAGTTTTTAAAGATGCTGACAGTCTTAACGCGGTCTCAGTAACATTGCAAGTACCCTTCAGAGATGTCTATTTTCTCCTCAGCCAAGCTGGGAAAGATAGAGACACAAACGGAACTTATGGATGAGTCTCATGCACTTCACTCCAATACTATGCAAAATATCTATTACCACTTTAAGCTATTTTTGTTCTCATTTTTCCCAAGTTGACACTTGTGATAATAACATTACATGTTGCAAAAGTTAGATTCTACTACAGGGGCTGACATATGGACAAGATACGAAGGCACAAACACCAAATTGATACAATTTTTTTTAAATAACAATAGATCCTAAGACAAAGATATTTTGGCAAAAAAAAAGTGACATTTGAATAAACGTCTTATTTTAAATGTTGTTATATATATATATATATATATATATATATATATATATATATATATATATATATATATATATAGAGGTAGGATCCTTTGACACCGGTGTCAAATTTGAAGTTTGACACCTCATCTGAGAGTCCTTGGATCGAAAAAGATCAACGATTCTGATTTGTGAGCATATGACAGCATTGATCTTTTTTTATCTAACGGCTCTCAGATGAGATGTCAAAATTATATATATATATATATATATATATATATATATATATATATATATATGAAGTATGTTAAAGCAGATATTAGTCTCATGGTGTATATAATGCCTAAAAAAGAGGGGGGGAACACACATACCCACTAAAAAAATCCTTTTATTTTATATTTCCTCATTATTTATTTTGTCCTTTCTATATGCAATACAGTTTTTTATCTTTTGTGAATTGCGTTATAATATATCCTTATTAAAATTATACTTACAACTTATTTTCATTTATAATCATATTTTAATCGTTAATTTTTGCCAATTAACCGTTATTATTTATTGCGAACTAATAATTAATTAATGAATTTGATTTGCGAAAATAATAACCGTTAATTGACAGAAATCAACGGTTAAAACATAGTCATAAAAAATTATAAATGAAAATAGGTTGTAAATATAAACTTCATTGTCCATATTAAGCCAAACCCGTCCAATTAACTTGTTTGTTTGTCAAAATAGGTGAGTTAACTAAAAAAATATGACCTATTTAAACCAATTCATATTTAGCCCTAGTTGATTTAAGTTGCGGCTTAAACCATCAAATGCTAAGCTTAACCTATCAGTCTATTTTATCTTTTAGTAAAAAGACCATTTTTTTTAATGAAATACAGATTGTATTTGTTGAGATATATAGTTATAAGGTCTTGGGCACTCCCACCTTTTGAGCTAGCTTTTGGGGTGGTGTATCCCAATGTTCTTTACATGGTATCAAAGTCGTTCGATCCTCGCTGCCCCCCACTTTCTTTCAAGTGGAATTTCTTTGTTCGCACAGGTAGGTGAGCCTGTGCATTGTCCACACTTCAAGCCCAGTGGACTCTCGTGTGAGGGAGCGTGTTGAGATATATAGTTATAAGGCCTTGGACACTCTCACCCTATGAGCTAGCTTTTGGGGTGGTGTATCCTAAGGTTCTTTAGGGTATTCTTGATTTTGATTTGTTTGGCGCACACTTTTTGGATCACAACTTTGATATGTTTGTCAGATTTTTTATAGGAAAAAACATCTATCCTTTTAAAGGATATAAGTCTATATCATTTTAGATCCTAACCGTTGATTTCCGTCCATTAACGGTTATAATTTATTGGGTCAAACTTAATGACCAAATTTATAATTAATTAATTAATAATTTTGATCCAATAAATTATAACCGTTGATGGACGAAAATCAACTGTAACACCCCAAATTTCTAACAATTTATAAAACAATCTTATAATAAATAAATTGTCAAAATTCATTTTTTTCACAATTATAATAATAGAAATATTGCGGAAGCTAATCAAAATCTAATTTGGGGAATGTTACCGCCGCACCTGTACAATGAACAGGTGCAAGGCTAAATTTATTACATTAAAATAAAACCAAAGACTAAAGTTTAAATAAGGGAAATATGTCTTATGCATTTATTTAAATCTCATAAATTTCTAAACTTAGAAACTAGCTTGAAATACCCGAGTCGTGATCCTCACTGTCCACAGCTAGCCCCATCCTTTGCAACATGCTTCACTGAAAATCTGCTCCCCCGCAGCCGCAGGATCATTGCAGTCAAACAAACACAAAAGTCAGCAAAGCTGGTAATCCTAATCAAAATACAATTAATGTGAGTAATAACAAATTAAATCAAATATCAAATAGTGTTCAAATCAATTCCACATTAATCAAATCAAATATCAATATAATAATCAAAATTCCATTATATAATATTTATCTTTATTAAGTTCATTTAATGTATTTGGTAATTATCAACTAATATATTTAGCACAACATTAGTCATAATATGATAATATTCACAACTCAATGACATTCTTCATAATCAAATTAAATAACAAATTTCATTATTAATAATGTTTAAGTTCATTATATTTAGTGGGAAGAGAACCATGGTAGACCCGGGAAACCCTGCCAGTCTACCCCGTGACCCGGGAAAAAACCACTGTTACCAGCCACGTATAATCAAAATTGGCCATAATCAATTCACATCTTCCTAGTGTGTACACCTCTTCCCAAAGTTGCTACTAGTATCCCGGGAAACCCTGCCAGACACCACTTTGGAAAGAACGGATATAATCTTTTTCACATCAGTTTCACATCGGAGGCATAAAGCCCAAAAGTTGTGTTCATCACCTTGGGAGGTACCATCCCAAAGCTATCCTCCCACCATTAATTTATTACAAACACACACAATCAGGAAAGATTCAATCATAATTATTTATTCTTTAAGTATTATCATATCTAAATGAGTTACTCAAGGGCATTATAATTTTCCAAAGTATCATAATTCAAACAACTATTATCATAAATTCTCGAATTTATATAACAATTCAAATCTTCAACATCTATCATAGTAAAATCCAAATCTGATCATCATAATAACTTTCCAATTTATTCAAGGATATGATAATTCAAATCTTCAACAGTCATCACAGTAAAATCCAAATCTGATCATTATCATAACTTTCCAATTTATTCAAGGATATGATAATTCAAATCTTCAACATTCATCACAGTAAAATCCAAATCCGATCCTCATCATAACTTTCCAATTTATTCAAGGATATAATAATTCAAATCTTCAACATTCATCATAGAAAAATCTAAATCCAATCATAGTCATTCAAATAATCCCATCACATCAATTATCATAGTTATTAATAATATAAATATTTAAATTCAATCATTAAAACACATATTTGGAAAGTTTTTCTTAAAGAGTAGTATAATTCCATAATTTTCATAATTATTCAATAAGATCCATATATTGCACATGAATTAAAAGTTTATATCATATATTGCACATAATCATAATTTCTGAAATAATAAAAATTTTCCAAAAATATTCTAATTATCATATGTAGTAATTTAAATTTTAAAAAAAAACAAATACCTATATATATAGAAATGTTCATACCAAACTATTAAGAACATCTACGGATTACATATAAGGATTATGCCCAAATTTCATATAATAGAGATAACCTAAACACCTAAGGATTCAGATTACATCCAAGTTTTATATAAAAGAAATAACCTACGAATAGGATTACATATACCGAAATTCATATCAATATAATCTATGACTCTCTAGGGATAAGGATTACTATTAATAAACTTCAAACAAAATTATAACCTAAGGATTAGGATTACACATATCAAACATATAACTACCTAAAGATTAGGATTACGCACAATAAAAATTTCATACACAACGAATCTACAACCACCTAGAGATTAGGATTACCTGGTCTCCGCGCTAACTTCTAGAAGAAAAGAGTAATTTGGGGTAGAGAACCGGTTGATAAAAAAAAATATAAAGATTGAAAATAATTAAAATAAGCTTTTTTGGAGTGAGAAGAGAGAGAGTAGTAGAGGAGAGTGAATTGGTTTGGTTAAGCTAGGTCTCTATTTATAGTTGAAGTTTATGGCTTATACATTACTGACTCAATGCTGACTCATCATATCTAAACAATATATGTTTGTTGACTCATGATATCTAAACAATTTATGTTTATTGACTCATCATATCTAAACAATATATGTTTGTTGACTCATCATATCTAAACAATTTATGTTTGTTGACTCATCATATCTAAACAATTTACTAATCAATCATTACTAATCAAACATAAATACATAAATCATCAATCAATTAATAAATCAAGTAATCATAATTTATCATCTAATATATATATATATATATATATATATTATCACATAAATCAAATAATATTACTATTATTATCTTACCTCTTATTATTTTAACTATTATTAACTCATTAATTAAAAATATTAAATACCAATATTATTAATTACAAAAATACTAAATATCATTATTATCCAAAAATATTTATTATTATTATTATTTTATTAAAAGAAAATATAGGGTATTACGTCAACGGTTAGGATCTAAAATGATATAAGCTTATATCCTTTAAATGACAGATGTTATTTCCTTTTTTATATCGTAGGCCGTAATCAAATATATTTATTTTATTTTTTTTATAAAAATAGGGTAAGTTATTATTTATTTGGGGTACAATATAAAATCTATTTAATTAAGTATCTGTTAAATTGGATTTGGATATATGTAATATTGATTAGTGTGGATAAACCTAACTCATAGGCCCATGATCATAAGGGGATTAGAATTAATAAGTTTGGACAGCCTCTGCATTCACAATGTCTTGGTAAACCTTCACTCCACAACTTGTTCTATCGAAAGTTATCAATTGCAGAGAAAGATTGTGATCATTTAACTTTTACAAAAATACCAGAGCAAACACTACACTTGAGATATCAAGAATTATGTCATGAACAAGTAAGCCTAAACTCTCTTGGTGTTCTAATTTCATATAATACCATTTTTCTTTTTATGATTTCTTACAATGTTTACTTGAATTCCCGCGGTTTATGCTGGAAATTGAAATGCAATTTTTTACGTATCTTACTGACCTCTCGTTTCTGGCATTCAAGATTTCAAATTAAAAAAAAAAATAAAAAAAAGAAAGAAAGAAAGAAAAGAAAACGACATGTCTTAAGGAGACACCGCCCTTTGTTATTTTTTCTTCCTCATAAAGCCGAATCTGAATCCAAGGAGCTTCATGCAAGATATTTACTCATATTCATTAAACGTCGTCGTATGGTCCCGAGACTGAACAAGCAAAAGTCAATAAAAAAAAACCATTTCCAAAGCCCGTTCTTACATCTTGGTGCTCATTTTGGTTGGACTCAGACATAGCGAGGCAACTCCGTTAACTAGAATGGGCTGGGCCAGGGAGGGTCCACCGAAGAAGGAACCCAAAAAGAGAATAAAGTAAGCTAACAATAGATGAATAGAGAGCGAAAGAGCGACGGACCCCAAATCAATTCCAGAAAGATAGAGAAAATTCCAACACTCAAAAAAACTCAAAACACCGAGAGGCGGTCATTCATTGCAAATAACACCAAATAAAAAATAAAAAATAAATAAATAATTAAAAGAAAAAAAAACACATACGCAGTTACGCACACAACACAAAGAAATTGTCGATTTTGATTCTTGGGGAAGAGGTTAGGTAGTGTGTTGTTAAATATAAATCACACCGTTTGGGAAAACAAAACAAGAGTGGCCAACGTTAACTTTAAAGAAACATCCGTAAAAAATATGCAGCTTCGTACTTCTCCGCTTCCCGCCGCTCCTCCTTCTTTGTTCTCGTTTTAGCTTTCTCTCTTTTAACTTTCACCTCTCACTTTCTTCTTCTTTCAACCAAGGTAATTTTCTTTTCTCTCGCGTTTCCGGACATTTCTTTTATATTGATGGTTTCGTCAACATTTTATTTTTCACTAGTCTCGATTTCGTTTTCTGTTTTGATTTTGAATTCTGTTTCTCGGACTTGTTTAGGTATCCTGTGCAATTCGTTTGGGTTACTTGCCAGACAGTTTCTGTTTTATTATTAGTGAGTATTATTTCCGATTTTATTTTTATTTTTTTCGAAATTTCTATTCCTTTGTGTTAGTTTTCCGTTTTGCTGTCAGGGGGAAATCATTACGTAAATATTCTGGTGTTGTATGCTATGTTTTTAATATGTTGAAGGAAGGAGGGACGAAATTTTGTTTTAGGAATCTTTCTCCAACAACAAAGGAAAAGAAAAAGAAAAAGAAAAAATAAGTATTTTTCCTACCTCTGGGAACCAAGCATTAAATTGGATTATTTGGGGGATTTTGCATGTTGCAATTTTTTTTCCTCGCTTGAATATGAATTTTTCTACATATGGTGGTGGTTTTGGTGGAACAGAACAATCCCCCCTTGCCTCTCTCTTATTTTCTCTCCTTCTCTCCATAAGAACAAAACAGAAATAAAATTGATCAATTTATGTTAGATTTAATCATGAATTAACAGTAGCTCGTTGCATTAGGGATATGGATAGATTGCTAATAAGTGCACTTGATTGGGTAACTTTTTTTTTATGTATAAAGTATTAATGCTTACGTACCTTTATGATTTTTGCAGCCATGCCTACTTTTACCGCCATAGCATTGGATAGGTTGTTAGAGACTGGAGCTTCCAAGCCAGTTGTTGATAAATCCGTTCCAGCTTCAATGCCTGTCCCGAATTCACAGAAGCTGGACAGGAGTACTAGTGCCCCAAACACAAAAAATAAGGTTCCTCGTCCTCAATTAAAACCGGCACTTTATACCACTCCTGAGGTGAAGCCAATTCCAGACTTGCCTTCGCCTTCTTCATTCCCTCCTTCACCGTACATCATCAACCACAAACGACGTGGTCCACGCCTCCTTAAGAGTTCTTCCGAGGCCAGTGTACTGTCCAAGCAGAATGCTCATGATGATGACGAGGTTAATAATCAGAGCTTAGACACTGTGGTTGCAAGTTCAGCTGGTGACCTACAGGTCACTTTTAAGAAAACTGAACTTGTTGAAGAGAAGCATGTGAATGGTGTCGATGGCGGTGAACTTGATAGCAGCGATGATGGTGACCTCCGGAATGGACACAGGGAAACTGGAAGTAGTAGCTTTCCAAATGTTTTAAATAGGGAAAAGGTACCAGCATTGGATTCGCCAAGAGAGAGAGAGATTGAAGACTTCTTTGATCCACAAGATTCAATGAGTTTCACTAGTAACACAGATGGGGAAGAGAATGCAGGGACAGAACTGTCTGTGAAATTCAGCACTTCTGGCGGGGAGTTTTATGATGCTTGGGAAGGTAAATTGGGTTAGCTATACTGCGTATTATTTCTGTTGCAGTGGATCGGGAATGCACATGGACGTGCATATGCCATGTTTATTTTTTTCCAATTTTTCCTCAATCATAGGATATCCTCATATCCTTATTTTTCCATGGATAATCAATCTTATTGCATATTTTTTGTACTGATCAGATAGGGGAGGAAGAGGGAATCATTACTTCTGTAATGAAGTGTCTTTGAAATATTTCATGTCATAGATTAGCTTACTTGGCTCTTTTCTTCTTGCAGAACTATCTTCTGATAGTGCAACTCAAAATTCTACGTACGATGTTGAAGCTGAATTACGTGAAATGAGGCTGAGTCTATTGATGGAGATAGAGAAGCGGAAGCAAACTGAAGAATCCCTTAACAACGTGAGAAGACAATGGGAGAGTATTAGGCAAGGGTTATATCTTGCAGGAATTGTTTTGCCTGCCGATCTTACTGCTGTTGCTGAAGGTGAGCAGCTGAATTCTGATCCCGTGGAAGATCTATGTCAACAAATTGATGTTGTTAGGTTCATATCAAATGCCATTGGGAGAGGAACTGCCCGGGCTGAGGTGGAGATGGAGATGGAAGCTCAACTAGAGTCAAAAAACTTTGAGATTGCTCGACTCTTGGAACGTCTCCACTATTATGAGACCATGAATAGGGAGATGTCTCAGAGGAACCAGGAAGCAGTAGGTGAGACTAATGTCATATCCTTTGTCTGTATTATTTTTTTCTACCTTTAATTAGATATACCTATTTAGCTAGTGGTGATTTGATTTGTCATTTTATTTTTCTCATGACACAAATATCCTGATATGCATCTAATTGACGCAATTATGCATGTTTTAGACAGATGTGGATGAACACAAGGGTATGTGTTGAGTATGTAGTATCTGGTCATGAATTGTGACTGTAGCATGTTTGTTTTATTTACTGTTCAAACTTTTATGTCCAGGGTGGGGACATGATTTTTTTTCTTAGGTTGCTTCATTCTGGGGATAGGTAAGATTTTGTAAGTAATGAATGGTGATTGGTGGTTTAAAATTATGTATAGCTGCCCCCCTCGACCCTAACACAAAAAGAAACATAAATAAATAAAAGGATTGGAACAAGAGGGGAAAAAATTTGTTTTTGAGATGATTGATTAAGTGTTGAGATAATATGAGCTCATAGTTTAAGGTTTGTATGGAGTGTTATTGTCATAAATTATAATAGACAAAATCACAAATATATATCTTGATATCTTCCATCATTAATCCTTATTGTTTAGTTGTGCTAGATTTCTACTTGGAAGAACTACACATGATGCTTGACCTGTGTTATTATTGCAAGGTGTACACTGAAATTATGGTGCTGAACTGCTTGGTTCTTTATACAAATTCTTCATATTTTTGAAGTTTCTTTCAAGCTTTAACTTGTATTTGGTTTCTTTGAATGCCTTTTGAATATTAGTTGCATAAAATCATTTATCTAAAAAAATTAGGTGCATGAAATCATCTCTATAAAAAAACTAGGTTCATGGAATAACAGAATTTTAGGAGTGATGGTTGTATACTTGGTAGATTGGCGCAAAGCTAATCCTGCCTTGATGTGATGTCTTTTGGGAGGTATTATTTGTTATTGGTGTTTGTTACATTAAGAGGAAAAACCTCAGCTGCTATAGTTGGGGAGCCATGCATTGATTAAAACTACTTTTATTCTAGTGGGTCTGTTGTCCAAGGATAGTAGATTTTTTCCTAATGGCTATGTGATGAGCCGTAGTCTGCAACTTCCTTCAGTGACTACATGCTATTGTGTTTGCACAAGAGCACAGAAGCATACTGTCCTATTTACATACATGTCCATTTTATTTAGCTTGCATAATTTGTTAATCTTATTTGTGTTATTTGCTTTCTTTGTCTAGAGACGGCACGGCGTGAGAGGCAAAGAAGGACTAGGAGACAGAGATGGATTTGGGGCTCTGTTACAACTGTGATTGCACTTAGTACTGCAGCAATAGCATGGTCTTATCTCCCAATGGGTGAAGGATCATCCTGTGCAGATCATGATCTGGTTCCTGACCATGATGATGCAGCCAAGTAATTACCCCATCATCACTAATTGCAATGCCGTGTTATGGTAGAAGAGGAAAATAATATTTATGCATGCCACTGTGCGGTCAACTTATCTCTTTATCAGTTGCAGTTTTCCGGCATCCTGAGTATGTGCATAATTTATATATATATATATATATATATATATATATATATATATATATAAGAATTTGTGCCTTTCACTGGAAATCGTGGTAAGTAGTTTGGTGAAGTTTTTTGATCTGTCTTGTCGAGAAAATATTCTATGGCTTCTTCATATGCCATCCGTGCCAGCAGTGTCACTTGGAAACTCTGAGGAGACGTGCATATATGCTTCATGCTTGGCCATCTGATACATCTGGCACGGTGCCTATATAATAGATTCTGTAAGTCCGTTCCTTTGAGCATTCTCAGACAGCAAAAGCGGATTTGATTGGCCTCTGGATGCTTGTTTGCTGAACTTATTAAGGGGAAGCTTGTTGAGCAATGATGAATGGCCTAATAGAATTCTGGTGTGTTAGTGCTGTGTCTCTATTGGTTGTTCGTTGGAGTACTAACGTAGAATACAAATTATAGGAATTGGCTAACACCACAGATATAATTATGTCATAAACACATTACGATAGCGTTTGAGAATAAAGCATTTCTGATTGTAATAACCCTACAAAACTATTGGTTTTGCTGTGGTAGTTAATTGTTTAATGTAGGTTTTGGATTTTCCAGAATCATGCGCTGGAAAAAGGTTGCTTATTCATCTTTTTTATGATAGGTAAATGAGAAATTTAATTTTTTAATCATTTGCCATTTGTTCAATGGTGCTTGATTTTTGTTGTTTTCCATAACCAAACTCTGGATGAACCGTGATAATTTGACAGTAGTTAGTTAAATTACTGTTAAGCTCTTAATAGTTCTATTAGATTTTTAAGCAGGTTTTCATGGTTCTAAATATTTTTTACTAAAGAACCTGGAAGCAGTAAACTTTATTCATTTTAGTTGATGTGGCGCATGTGGACAGTGGATTACAATTTTTTTGTGGAAGCAGTCATGTGTAGTGTCTGCAAGAGGCTTCTAAAACACTTTTTTGAACTTGCGAGTAATGAGGATTAGTTTATTTGTCACCACGTAGGCGAATACGTGATTTGGGCTTTCTATAATGAATGAAAACAGAGCTCCAAGATACCACCAAGGTTTGATGTTGGCGCTGTGAGAGTTATTGCAAAGGATAGGGGTTAAATAACTGGAAGGAGTATTGGTGTGTGATGTGAGTCTCGTTTGGATTCTTGGTTTCGTATTTACCGTGTGATTTTGGCTGTAGAGAAACGCTTTTTTGGGGGGCAATTAGTTCTTTATTTGTTAATTTGGTGCATGGAAACAGTATCCTGAGGCTAGATTGATTGTATTCATGGGCACGCGACAGTTGTAGAACTAAAGGTTTATGGATAGCTAGAGATGTTAGGCGAGCTATTGAGGGAATGGTGATTACTGATTAGTCAATGGTTTCATGAAGAAGCATGCATTTTATATAAGTTCATAAAAAAATTCTTAAGACTTTAAATAATAGCATTGCAATAGTTCAAGAAATTTTTTTTTTTTGTTAAATTGCAGTAGAAACTAATAATCTTACCGTAGCCAAACTACTGCAGGAAGCAAAGGCTTTGAAAATTTGAAACTATGTCTGAGATCGATAACTAAACGAGCAATATAAACTTAATCCATAAAAAGGGAAATTGGCCTTGCAGGCCATTTGGGGGTTGATTCACGTGATTGTTTATTTAGAGTAATAATAGTTATTTTTTGGTTACAAGGACTGAACTTATAATCTGATGTCAATTATGCAAATTTCCCACTATTAAACCAATTCTAATGGCTTACTCAGAGGGAGCCACGTATCATCTGGGTGTGATTTTCGTCCGGGTTAAATTTTAACAAGTTGTACTTATTATATATAATTATATAATTAATTATAATTTAGCTCGGGCTATAATTTGTAATTTGGCCCTATCTAAAACTTAAAGTATTTTTGATAAAAGATTTGGATAAGTTATATTAAATTATGTGTTCAATTTTCATTTATATAAAATATATATATATATATATTTTTAATAAAATTGTAACTCTTCTTAGTGTTGACTCAGCTACTCTGTATTTAATATAATTTAAATATATTATGATATGAACTAATTAAAATTAAAAAAAATAAATATACATATACTTTTTTGGTTCGAGCTCAAATTAGAGTCCGGTTCACCAGTGGGCTTACTAATAGTAGTTATCAGTCCAGCATACTAGGACCAAGTTTTTGGTGGATAAAATGAGGTGTATTTGTAAGGAACTCCTATGCTTAAAGTAAGTATTTGTTTAAGCATGTATTAAGTCAAGGTGAGAGATCAACTTGGAAGTAGGCTCGTGAAGATGTCGCGCCTTTTACCCATTTTTTTTTTTTATCAAAATGATTAAAACTTACATATTTTTTAAAATAATAGTGTGAGATGCATACAAGTAATGTACACATTTAAGTTGTATATGAGAGAGATGTGCAACTCAGGCAACATGATGTGCATTATAAGTCGTGCTTATTCTCATATGTAATTTGAAGCTTGTCATTGTGACATGCATAAGCACACACACAAGTTATATAATTTTCCATGAATGACTTTAACAAGCATATATGTCCATGTGCATTTTAATGCATTATTTTGATAAAATATTTAAATTTTAAATTAATTCAATAAAAGCTTTCTCGTGATCTCACAATTGAATGTCTGAGTTTTTGGTGACAACGTACAGGATTTCTTATTGACTGATAGCATATGTGTTTGAGATGGGGATATATATCTACGGTGCCAGGGTTGAGTACTTTATACGTAACTATGTTGAGTACTTTTTACATAGGGAAAATCACATATATTGTCAATGTAGAAGTGATTTTCTTATGTCACTGACTCATCAGTATTTTTTATTTATTTTTTAAAATAAACATATAGGGTCTCACCATGTTTTTGTATCAGCAGGAGAAGACAACATTTTTTCAATAACAGCAGAGATATAAAGCCTTTTTACATAATTGTGTCATTAGCTAGTTTCTTGATTATAATGTGCTGCTCATGTCTTCTTCTTGAAGAGAAAATCTTCAATATACGGAGATCAACGAATTTGGTGGTCCCTAAAAGAAAAAAAAAAATTGGACTTAAAGAGAAATATAAAAAAAAATGGGTAAAATGAGAAGAAAAAAATATCCTTTTTATTAAAAGGACCATTAAGTTTGATGATCATGATGCATTGGAGTTTTCCTCCTTCTTGAAATGTCAGGATAATGTGACAAAGTGATTCATGGAGTGTTTAAGGCGCTTTAGATTGCTACATGGCTTCATGGATTCGAGAGGATTAAGAGAAACGGATTTGGACTTTTATGAATTGGCCTTACAATATTGGGCTAAATGTCCCCCCGGTCCAGAACAATTGTGGATCATTGTTTAAAATAAAGTTTAGGTTGGATGAGCAATACAACATGCATGAAGTGGACTTGTGGAAAGCTCATACCTTCGCAATTATTTCTTACCATTTAAAAGTTAAAACTAGCCTGATTAAATGGAACAGAATTTCCATTTAAAAAAAATACAACGAATAACTTGGAAATAACTCCTGTCGTGGTGAAGCTTCATCTATCAGAGAAAATAGGTAATAAATTGCCCCATAGAGAGACATACATGCAGTAATGATATAAACATGTTTCAACTTTGATGTCAAAATGGTTTCAAATGAATAGATAGGATCATACAATGAGCCGGGGGGTTGCCTTATTCAGCTTTCAGCTTTCAATAGGGCAGGATTGCTTATCTTTCACGATGGCGATATATTCCATTGGTTGCGCACGTTAAAAAACCGTAGGATATTTCCAAGTTTTCTTTTTCATATAGTTTATATACGTACTGCCAATATCAACATCTATTGATAGTTTAACACACTTATTTTATGGTATATCAAAATACTAGTAAGCATTAGTATAAAATATCTTTACATGAAATATACATACTAATTAATTTTAATAAATATAAATATACATTTATTTATTATTAATTATATTTAATAATTTTATTTAAAAATACTACCCCAAATACATAGTATAATTTTTTGCTTTTTTTGTTTTTTTGGAGATAAGCTCTTCGTGCTTTTACATTTTTAATTTTTAATGTTTTGTTAAAAGAAAGGCTATTGGTGTGTTCGAGGAGGGAAAGCATTTTATTGGTTTGCGGGGAGAGGCAGTTAAGGGGAAGAGATAGTGTCGTAAAGTGTGTTGGATCTGCTGATTTAATTGCACCAATCGTGGAGAAATTCTTCAGAAACACTCATTCCACTTCAACGAAACGTGGCTCTGTTCACTCACTCACGCGTCGCCTTATCCCCACCACTGCTTATTTTTCATAAACCATTTACCGAATTACCGTGATTACTGCATCTAAATAATACCATTTATATTAGGCATTGAATTCTGTTCCCACAACATCTCTCAATAATTCAACAAATAAATAAGTACAGCTCGTAATAATGGTTCTATTTATTTACATAATTGTTAATGACATATTTTTTTAATACTCGTGTTAATTTTATTAATACATGTAAATTTTGTTGAGATATATAGTCTCACATTGGTTGAAGAGCAACTAATGTGGGAGTTTATAAGACCTTGGACACTCCCACCCTTCAAGCTAGCTTTTGGGGTGGTGTATCCCAAGGTTCTTTACATGGTATCAGAGCTTGAGGTTCGATTCTCACCGTCCCCACTTTAAAAGTGTACAAAAAAGGTAAACCAAAGATTGAGCCTGTTGCATAATCTACGCTTCAAGCCAAGAGAGCTCTTGCGTGGGGGGCGTGTTGAGATATATAATCCCACATTTATAATGACCCTAAATGGTAAATCTTAATTAGAGATTTAATTTAAGGATTTAAATGCCATAATTAGATTCAGTGAGTGATTCCGAGTATTTTGACTGTAATCATGACTATGTTATGAACAGTGCGTTCTGTCGGATAATTTACAGTTTTGTGAATTAACCGGTAGATCTTAAAAGAGCAAAATAATTTTAGAGACATAATTTGATAATTCTGACGACAAAAATGAGTTCAGAATGAAAAATTGTATAGTCTGGCACTTTCCGTGAAAATCTCGTGAATAGTGTTTCTACCGGGTATTTTGTACTGCTGTTTAAGCAACCGGTAGAGTCCAGAAATAAATAATTGATGAAATAAGAATAAGAAAATCCAATATATGCCAAGCAAGTCAATATAGGCCCAAGAAAATGATAAGTTTATAAGTTTTAAGTTTCATAAGTAAATGAAGTACAATTAGTGATTCACAGTGCATTTCGTCAAAAATGGTGCAAAAATCATACTGTGAATTATGAATATTGTTTTGTAAGAATTAAAAAGTAATGTAAATGATTTTAGAAAAATAAAAATATGTCAGTAGCTTTAAGTTGGTTCCGGGTCAATTCAAGTAAAAATACGCGATAGAAAAACATCCGATAAAGCCACAAGTATTTATAAAACATAAGTGGCTTACAAAAATCACTATTCACATCTAAAAAAACTGCTCTCTTCTCTCTCTTCTGCCCGAGGATCAGCCATGGGAAGGGATAGGGTTTGCTTTGTTTCATTTCTTTATTTCTCCATAAATCCTACACTAAATCATTGACCCATTATAC